CGACACTGACAGGTTAAAATGGCTATGCTGGAGGAAAGGTTGCACAAGTTCCGACTTTATTTCGGACACTAAGCGATTCAAGGTGTACGTACGAAATAGATATACGTGGATAATATATATATATATAATATAATGATTTACAGGAAGCGCTGTTTTTCTTTCTTCTGAATTTGCATGTACGGGGTATCGGTCAGATTTGCTTTGCTTGGGTTTTTAGGTTTTCTTCCAAAACATGACAACATAACATGTTTTACAACAAAATGGTCGTGGCTCGTTCCCCAACCCCTTGTTTTTGACTCAGCCCCACAGCGTGTGGAGCCAGGCATCTGCTTGTGTCGTGGGCCGTCCGCAGTGGGGGAATCGCCAGGATTCCAAGTGACGCCTTGGAGGCTGAAATTTTACCCAAATTTTTGAGATCCTGAGAACCTCTGAAGTCCAGTGATGGTTTTTTGAACATTTTTTTGAGCAGGGAGTTGTGTTTGTTTTGGTTTTCTTTGGGGGTCAATTTCCCAATGATCTGATCTCATGGGGTTGCGGAAGAACCATCCGCAGGGCACGGCGTATGAGATGCGGTCAAAATAAGCGTAGACTGTTGAGAAAGTGCACCAAACCATGTAAAGCGATAGGGCCCCCAAAAAAGCGACAACTTGTAACCATATGAGAGTGCATTAAACTTGGTGTAAACATGTGTAAACCAAGCAAATATTGTTTTGTGCCTTCACGCGATGTGCAAAATTTATGAAGAAAATTCAACTGCAGTGCCCACGTTTCTTGCAGTTGCCATACAATTTGTTGTCCAAGGTTATTGAACCGTTGCTTTCTGCAGGCAGTTGTTTTTTCTGCCAGGTCCCAAAGCAGTAGAAGACTCAACTAAATGCAACCGAATTCTGAATTAAATCAAAACATAGTTTTAAATCTAATTCTGAATTTCGTTTATGTGCTTTACTTTAATTTGAATATTCCTTTGCTTCCTTCTCTTTGTCTTTCCTTCCATTTTCCTTTTATTTCCTTTGGAATTCTGAAGTAAATCAGAATTGATTCTGAATCCAATTCTGCATTTCATCTATATTACTGTATTTCCCTTTTGTTTGATTTGTACTTTCTTCTTCTTTCGTTTTCTTTTCTCGTTCTTTCCTTCCTTTTTCCTTTTATTTTTTCAATTGTCCTTTTGGTTCCACGTTCCTTTTTCTTTTCCTTTCTTGATCATCAAGGTGTTCTAATTTAGCGATAACCTTAGCGATAATCTTTTGTTGAAAAAGGAACCCCGGATGAGGGATACACTCATTTGATCCCAACAAGAAGAACTCAACAAAAAAGCGAACAGGTTCTCAACCCTAGGCCATCAGGTTGTTTTGGGTCCCATCTTCAATGTCTAGAGCTTTTGAGCGGGGAAGTATGGCGTTTTCTGACGCCATGGCTTATCAAAGGGGGACAATTGCGAGGTGGCCCTTTTTCGTTCTCATAGAATCAGAATTAGTGATCTATAGTGATCTTATAACTGTTGGGAACCATTGAAAGAGTCTAGCAATGTGCTTAGATAGCTCCCCAACATGGTTGCAAGCGCAAAGACAACGAGCGCCCCTTAATCCATTCCCAGCAGTTTAGAGATATGAGTCCGCGAAGCCAATTGCGCTGCATTTTTGCATTATTTAGTGTTCATTTTAACAAAACACTGTAAAGCGATAGGCCCCCCCCAAAAAAGCGATAACCTATATTTTCGTACCAAGCGTCAACAATTGATTTTGACGGCGGCTCATATATTATTTATATATATATATGTCAAACTATGTCCAATAAATATGATACATGATATATATATATATATATACATGTCCAATAAATATATATTATTTATATATATATATATATGTCCCTAGGCTGCATAAGTGTAATGATTTCCTGGAAGCCACTTGCGACCATGTTGGACGTTTTCGGTGGCCCATGGCATTGGTAACGATCAAGGTAACCACCTGGATAGCTAAGGTAAATTAGGGAACTTGGTTAGATATAGTTTATCAATGGGAATTCCAGGATCCTAAATTGGAGGTACTGTACCATATAAGGCCATATTTTGCTGGGATATTCCCTTACATAGGCCTTATATAGGCCTTATATATGGTAGGTACCTCCATTTTAGGATCCTGAATTTCCCATTGAGTTTATGATGTTCATGGGGATATATAAAACTAGAATTATTATTATTTTTTTTTAAAACCAACTTATAACTGGGGGACTCAGCTAGATATAATCATGTACACATGCTACCGTGCACAACCATTTTATCCGTGTGATATTTGCAAGGAATCTTGAAGACAAGTACTGCAGCAATGTCATGATATACATGCACAGATGTGATCATACTCTACAGTGAAACACATAATATGTATGTATATATATATATGGGTAAATTATCACGACCTCACTGCGAGATCACTGGGAATGATGGTTAGTAGTGTGACTATCCCCAAATGACCTTATTTCAGGTTAGTGAAATATTATAATTTACCTAGATATATAGTATATGTACGGTGTATGTAATATAATTTTGATACAATATATGTAATACAATATACAGTTGGGTTGGCGGTGGTAGAGAGTGGAATTTCATTGTAAGCCCCCCCATAGCTTTTTTCTCTACCGACTGCCGGCCTCTTTCTGGGGGGTACCCTCTAGTGATTTGACATAGCTATAGAAAATCATCGTTTTGAAATAGGTAAAAGATACATAAATGGCAATTTTCCGTAGCTATGTTGAATTACCAGAGGGTAAATCAAGTTCTTTGGTATCCCCATATGTACCATTTTTTGAAAAATAGGGGGGATGCTAAGACCATCTAAGACCCGTTTTTTCGAGAGGGCTCCATGGCCAAGGTTGCACATCATGGCGGATGCAGCATGGCGAAATTGGATCAATCCACGAAAAGATGAGGATCTCAATGATGGTTGGTTGATGACTAGCTGGGGGTGATATACTCCTCAATTATATACATATATAATAAATAATACATATGTATATATATATATATTATAATATTATATATATATATATTGAAGATGGTCACAATATGTGACGGAATACAATGGAATCAACTTCTTAACCGTTTCCAGGCTGAACGGAAAAACTTCAGCAATGAATTGAATGTGACAAGATGGAGCTGCCATCGAAACCATCAGTTTTAGATGTTACTGATGGGGCTCGGTTTGTTGCGTTGTTGAATTTCTTCAGTACAGAAACCCTCGATGAGTCATAGTCATACTCCCGTGGAGGGTGGAGGATTCTACTGGGATTATCTGTCGGGTAATGGCACATAATGAATCATAATGGCATATAACGGTGTGCCATTATGGCACATATATCCCAGCCATTGGTTTGGAATAGACACCTTTAATGATTTTTACATATGACCCAGCTGTAATTGCCAGAGGACTGGAAAAAACTTGAGACTTAAACAGATTCCATGGATCTCCATTGGTTGAGAAAAAGATGTTGTCCCTTTTTTCAACAATGACTAGTATATCAGTAGTATATGAATAGTATATAAATAGTATATGAATAGTATATTAATAGTATATGAATAGTATATTATATGAATAGTATGATAGATCAATAGGTCAAGCATACTAAATGATATGACAAATTGGATCCGAGCATTTTTTTCCGAAGGACAATATTCATTTCAGAGCTATTCTTGGTGATCATTTTTTGGATCCATAGGGCCTATATACACATACACTCTCTAGTAAACCTTGACATAAACAATGGAAAACCTCCAGTTTTCATGGGTAAATCAACTATTTCTATGGGAATTTTTAATAGCAAACTGTTAGTTACCAGAGGATATAGAATTTCCAAGTAACATTGATGATGTCCTGGGATACTGACTTACCCATGCATTGGCTCATGACATAAGTATAACATAACCTAGGACCATGCATTGGTATACCGACAGGTCGTTAGGCATGGCTTGAAAAGTAGTCCTCCCACAAGTTGTCCCATGGGTCAAGCTGGCTTTGCCGAGGCGAAGCCGAAGTTGAGTGCGGAGGAGAGGGGAAATTCCATCGTCATTCTTGGGTACCTCAATAGCTGGAGGCTTTATTTCCTGGAAAATCCTATCTATAAAAAATGGATGATGTGCCTAGGGTACCCCTATTTCAGGAAACTCCCAAATGATCCTAAGGGATCTATGGCGGGGAAATGGTCCCCAAGTCATATTGAAGAGCATTGCACTTGCTCAATTTTCGGGGTTTATTTTGCCATTTTGGGGCAAAGCCATATGGCGAATCATCCAAACATGATCAAACATGGCTTAAGAAGAAACTCAGGTTTGGAAATTCTGAGAATTTCACCAGATCATTGTTCCATGTTTTTCCATGAATTTCCAAGTGGATCCAAAAATTTCCACCTCACATCGAAAACCACCCGTCTCAGACATGGCAAATTTCCACCCGCCTGGAGTTCCGCACATTTTTTTTGGATGAAACCACCGGTGGCTGGTTGGCTTCGAGGATGAAGCTGCCTTGTTGCAACTTCAGAAGTTGCAGCAGATGTTTGCGCAGCTCGGTTGACGTTTTTCCACGTTTTTCCACGTGAAATTCCTGCGAGAAGTGGCATCATTGGAATACATGTGACACGTATATTTTTTTGGCACAGCATAGCCCTCAAAAGCCAATCTACATATCATAGAGTTAACTGTAATCATATGTATATATATATAATTATATATTATGTTGATTTCTTCACATGTCGTTTCCACTGCGAACGGGATGATTTATCGAAACAACTGCTGAAATCATTGAGTCCACAGAGGTTTCCTGAGTCATGGTACCCCCATAGCTGGATGGTTTATAAGGGAAAATGCCATTAAAATAGATGATTTGGAGGTACCCCCATGACTTAGGAAACCTCGAGTTTTTTCCGTAGTAAATCCCAACATCTGCCTGGCAAAAAAACACACCTGTTGTGCTGGTGAAATGATGAAATCACACGTGTCTCGGCCGAAGGCAGAAGCAAAAAGCAGCGGCAGCGAAGGTGGAAGCGCGTTTAGAGTCCATGGCCGAGAAGCCGAAGGCTGCAAGCTGTGGGACCCGACCTGTGCCTCCAAGAGGTGATATTACATGGTGGATGGATACCACATTTATGGTATATATATAATATAATGTTATATGTATATAATGTTATATATATATTATAATATATAATATATACATATCTATAATGATATATAATGATATATATATATATAATATTAATATGATATATATAATCTATGGTATTCTATGGTAAATGGGTAAAACAGCAACAACATATCTGGGTTTCCGAGAAGTCATGTGGCACCCCTCAGAATTTTTTCCAGCGATGGTGACTTCGGAATCGTCAATGCTGAATTTGAATCGCCTAGTTACTCCACATCAATTCTGTGGGTTGTATACCCTCTGGTTATTTAACATAGCCATGGAAAATGGCCTGTTTATAGATGGTTTACCTGTTAGAAATGGTGATTTTCCATGGCTATGTTAAATAACCAGATGATACTAGTTTTAGATCCCCTTTTAGTGCTAAGAAAATAACGAGGCGCATGGACCTCATGGACCTGAGCATCCAGCTATACTGGCTACAGTAGCTCATGGTCAGTTTGGATTTCAGGATCGAGTTTTGCGGATCTTGCTCCAATGGGTATTCTAGGGGTTCCCGAACTGGAAGGGGGACTTGGGGGTAAACCAGTTATATCCTGGAATCAGGAGGCGCCGCTCCCGCCCGCTGCGCCGGTGCCGGTTGAGAAGCCAGCACCGGCACCGACACCTGTGGTGGTTGAAGAGGCGATGATGGACCGGATGTCACCGTAGCGATCCGTTGCAACATGTACATGTGGTACCCCTCACATGAATAGTCTTGAAACGTATGGAAAACCCAAAGTTTAGAGGCTTGGAATTTAAAACAATCACCGAATTCTGTTAACGTTGTAGTTAACGTTGTACACTCAAGAGTAGACCGTGATGTTCTAGACTATGTGCTTACCCTCTGGTTATTTAACATAGCCATGGTATAGATGGCCCATTTATAGATGATTTTCCCAGCTAGAAACATCTATTTATTTTGGGGATTTTCCATGGCTGTGTTGAAGGTGAACTCCACGTTTGGTGAAATAGGGATGGATCAAAAGCTATGAGATTCACCATATTTTGGGAGGATGAACATTCATAAATCCATAAATCCCATCTATCTACCTATATATATATAGATTGATGTGAAAAGCAGGGTGCTGATCGGGTTTTGCCCCAGACCCAAACCAGCTGTTTTTCTCTGCGGAAGGTACAGCCTGAGGCGGACAAGCCCGTTCGGCTGCCACCAGCGCAGGAGAAGGAGCCCAAGAAGATACAGATCAAGCTGCCACTCGGAACAACCTGGGTTTGTTTCACACAACTTCTGCCATTGCAGCAACCCCGAAAAGCCAAGAGAATGACGAGGTCGACGGAGGCCTGAAAATGATTGGAAACACATGGCTATGAGTCAATACCTATTAATACCATTTTTAGGGGGATGAACATCCATTTACCAGCTATTTTGATGTGAACTACAGGGGTACTATTGGTTTTGACCCATCCCCACATGATCTAAACCCACCCTGGACATACTGTTCTACAAAATCTGGGGACATCTCCCGGTGAAAAACTTCAACCTTTGAGCGATGGAAATCTATGGCTGTTCCGTGGAGATGATCTACTGGATTTCCATGGATTTCCCATATCTACTTACAGTTTTATTTAATGGGAAATCCATGGGAAATCCATGGAAATCTATGGGAAATCTATCATGGAAATCTATGGGAAATCTATTGGAAAATCAGAAATCTATGGGAAATCTATCATGGTTAAATCTATCAGTAGATCAATGATCTCAATTTACAGAATATGTTTCATGGAAAATCTATGGGAAATCCAGACATCTAGATGTGAAATGATGTGAATTTCTGGATCAATTAAATTTGCATCTAACATTCAATTTGATCTATGTGAATGGAGATCTGGAGGCTAATCAGGATCGCTGCCTAAAGAGGATCGAAGAAAAACAGGAAAAACCATGTTCGACCCTGCCAGGAAAATCGGGGGAAGATGAGTTTCCACTAAACATGGGTTCTTTTCAGGGTCGAACTCTTAATTTGCCAGAGGCTACTGTAGACCAAGTAGACCAAGTAGACCAAGTGAAAGTTTACTGCGAGATTAAGCATGACTAAGAGCAACGAGAAAGGGAGATGTACTGTGCTTTTTGATGCTTTTTGTCAGAAAGGGCATGCTTTTTGATCTAAGATACCAAGGTTGAGGAATTCAGCCACAGCAATTGTGAGTTGACCATAGTTGACCTGTTTGGGGTTGATTGTTCTTGGGGCCCCAAGCTGCCGATTTCGGCTACCCCTAAATCCTCCCAATTAAAATGGCCATGAAGATGTCCCCTTTCCGGCAAAGCCAACTAGGAATTTCTGGCAGATTCCGGCCCTGGGCTGAAGTAAGCTTCTTTTTTCAAATATTTTTCAGCCGTCCCAATAGTTCATCCATCTGGGTAGATTATAACGACCTCACTGTTCTCCGTCACTGGAAATCATGGTTAGTAGGGGAAATTTCCTCAAATGGCCTTAATTCAGGTTAGTGAAATAGGTATGGGTCAATACCTATAGATACATTTTTAGTGGGATGAACATCCATTTGCCAGCTATTTTGATGTTCACCAGGGGGATAGGGTTTTGACCCATCCCCAAATATTATCTACAAGTAGTAGTTCATCCATAATTTTGAGAACCAAAAAAGGCGCGAGCAGCTCTGAGGCAAGTGGGTACAGCCCAAGCAGCTCAAGCCCGGCAAGCAGCGCAGGCTGCACAAGAGCGGCAAGCGGAGCAAGAAAGGCTAGCTGCAGAGCAAAGGAAAGCGGAGCAAGAACGTTTCTGGCTTGTTTGAGGATGGGTTGTTTAATACCCTAGTAAATATTCGATAGGTGACTAAGCGTTTCTTGCTAGCTGTTCAATTTTTTGGGTCAAGAGGTTGCTCACCCAAATGACAGGTGAACAGTTCACAGCTGTTTGAATTATATTTGTGTGAGGTGGTCTGAAAATTTGGAAGCCCCCAAAATCCCATCTGTTTGGTGGTTTGGAACGCCTTTTATTTTTCCATATATTGGGAATACTCATCCCAACTGACTTTCATATTTTTCAGAGGGGTTGGAACCACCAACCAGCCATGGTTTATCAACGTTTTCTACAAATTTAGCCAGAAACTGCATGATTTCACGACTTTTCCGAGCTTTTTTTCTTTATTTGGGGCCTCAGTTTCTATTCTGACCTCGTGGGTCCGCTGTTGATCCAAAGCGAGAACTTCCAAGCCTTGGCGGCTTGGCGCTGAGGCTTGGCTGCCAAACAGCGTCAGGCGGAACAAGAACGACTCGCCGCTGAGCAACGCAAAGCGGAGGAGGAACGACTCGCTGCACTGCGTCAGGCGGAAGAGCTGGCTGCACAACAGCGGAAGGCTGAGGAGGAACGTCTGGCAGAACAGAAGGCAGGGTAAACACCTCAAGATGTTTCCAGTTTAGTTTGTTTATATAACATATAATATAATATAATAAAATCCTGGGATGACGATTCGGGATGATGATTCCCAAGAAACACTCTATGAATCACCAGGATATCATTTGATAGCTGGGCTCATCAGATCGAAAGATCCACAGATCTGCGGCCACCACTGCTGTGGACCATGCAGCCATGCCATGCGTCAGGCGGCGCAAGCCAAAGAACGGCTTCGGGCTGAGGCGGAACAGGAGATTCGAGAAGCAGCGAAAGCCAAAGCAGAGCAAGAACGCCTGGAAGAGGAACAGAAAGCCGAAGAAGAGCGTTTCTAGGTGTTGGAACTTGTGAAAAATTCGGGGATGCTTTTGATTGGTTTTGAGAGTTTTGATTGGTGTTGTCAAGACATGGTGACCCCCCAATTGTTATGTTGATTGGGCTGATGACAACCCCTTGGGATTTAGCAAGTCCAAATCTGACTTTGTTTGACCATGAGCATATGGGCGTAAAAATGTAATGGTTCAATGTAATCAGCAGCAAATTTCCATGTTGTTGTTTTTTTGGTCTCCATGATCATTCCAGCCGTTTTTTTTGGAGAGATGACATACACCAGCATCAATCATGGTTAGCAACAGCGTAGTTCATGAAATCCACCAAATCATTACTTGTCATTAATTCTCCAGCTCGGTGGACGTATGATAATTCAGCCATAATCATATCAGCCACACACACATATGTATATATATATATAATATGCATGCATATATAAATCTGTATATAAACATGTGCAAACATATACACATATCTACACATCCATAGTTCTATGTATATATATATACATGTATGTATATAGTGGGTTCCCATCCCCTATCAAATGTTGATGCAACTTACATGTAATTGGGAAGATCAACACGGATATTAGGAATGTCCCTGTTAAACTTTATATTCAACTGATGATGATGATGATGATGATGATGATGATGCTCCGTGTCCCGTCGTCGTTGCCGTTCCGGGCAAAACCCGGGCATTTGCCGTATACATAAGTCAACATACGTACATAGAGACACACACACACATATGTATATATATATATATGTATATACACATGCACATACACATACTGTACACATACACATACACATATACTGCATTGCATTGCATGACATCACATCAAACCACATCACATACTATACATAGTTTTTTTTGCATATATATATATATACATGTACATACATATTTGCATACATATGTATCCAATATATATATGATTATATGTATATCTACATACATTTATAACTATATGATATTCCACAGGGCAATATTTGTGACCCATCCCTTATTTTTCAGCCTTCTTGGCTCAGCTAAGGCCTTGCCGCAGAGCAGGAGCAGAAAGCCGCCGAAGAAAAGCAGCGGAGAGCAGCAGAGGAAGAGGCCTTGCAGGCAGCAGCTAAGCAAGCACAGGCTGGGCCAACGGTGGTGAAGGGGACGATGATTGATGATTTACCCTGCGGTTATTTAACGTAGCTATGGGAAATCACCATTTTTAATAGGTAAATCATCATAAATCATTTATAATGGGCTATTTTCCGTAGCTATGTTAAATAACCAGGGTGTAACTTTTTTTTTAAAGAACTGCAAGCCATATCGCAAACGCCGCCTCTGCAACCTCAACGCAGATTGCCCACAAGGCAAAAACAATTTCCTGCTTAAACCTTTACAATGCCCAGTAAGGGTTGATTCAGGAACCATTTTTTATTTACAATGGTTAACCATATGGTTAAATTAACCATATGATTTAACCATTTTATCCATGGTGTGAGTGAAATGAACCTTATGATGATTTAACCATAGGAAAAGCATCTGAAAATGATGATTTGACCGGGACTTAGCTACGATAAATCTCCCAGGAGAAACATGATCAAAGATGGGGATGTCCTGGGATTTATAGCTGATTCATGGTAGCTAAGTTGACTCACAGAACTTTGGTGAACAGCTATTGAGATGATTTTTTTGAGCCATCAAAAATAGCCTGGTTGATTGGTTAATATTTTCACACTTGAACTACTTAATTTATTGGGGATCATGATAACCCATAGTAGGGATACCTATCAACCAACTAGTATTTCATGAGAAGGGATGGGGGTATTTTTTGTGGCTCAATTGTTTGCTACCCCGGTTTAATGGAATTAGAACTCACCAATGGGAATAGCAACAGAAATACTAGAATCACCCGTGGTGTCCCATAGTGAAAAACAAATGTTAGAATTGTGTACTATATAGTAACTTTCAATTTAATCGGATGAATAGTGATGAACTATTTATAGACTTCCATAATAGGTCCGTAACAAACAAGGCCGATGGTTTAAGCGTCTGTTTTTTGCCTGGATTTTGCCGTCCATGAACCTCTCTTGGCATGGTGTTCATGCTGTCTTTTGATGCCTCGAAAACATACGAAATATTTCGAATCCAGCCACAACTGCTTGAACACATATTAGGGGTGCTGTATGATGTCTCTAACTTATTGACTGACACCATCTGACTCGGATGTTTGAATGTTGCACTCGAAGTTGGACTAGCTTGCGGATTCAATTATGTACTCCATGTTTGAGGCACGGACAGATGGGACAAGACCTGTTGTCAAAGAGATTGGGTCATCCTTTGCCATTTCGACGTTCTGGTACAAGCTCGCCATTTGCCTTGTTTCGGGTCCAATTTGAAACCTTCCAGGCGGCTATGCTGAAAGCCCAAGACCAACCAGATGCTCAGCAAGATCAAACACAAACCAATCAACAGCTGCAACAGCAGCAGCTGCAACAGCAGCAGCTGCAACAGCAGCAGATGCAGCAGCAGCAGATGCAGCAGCAACAGATGCAGCAGCAACAGCAGCAGCAGATGCAGCAACAGCAGCAAATGCAATATCAACAACAGTTGCAGCAACAGCAGCAAATGCAATACCAACAGCAGATGCAGCAGCAACAGCAGATGCAATATCAACAGCAGATGCAATACCAGCAGCAGATGCAGCAGCAGCATCAGCACCTTGGTTTTGCTTCAGATGGCTGAGCCATGGAGACATCCTGCCAACACCCCCTATCTCAGCAACTTTAAGCCATATCAGCCAGTGAATTGAGCAGTGGTCAGAATCCCTGTTGGTTGATGCTATACAATGTGAGGCCCCCCAGTGATGTGAACGTTGGTTGAATGATTCGCCCCAGGAATACTATAGTTCGTTAATTATTTGTGTACCAGAAACATCCATAAACCAGTTCGTGAAATTGGGGTTATTGGCACCAACTTTTCACGCTATCGTGGCCGGGGGCCTCACATTCTATGAGTACGGGGCGGTCCAGGTGATCCTGGTGCCTTCCCAAAAAAAAGGGGGAAGTATCACAGAAGGTGGTGCCCCAGTTCGTTAGCTAAGTTGGTGAACATAACTCCCATTTCACTATGGTTTATGGCAGATATAACTATAGTATTCATGGGGTTTATAAACCAACTAACATCACTGGGGGGCACCATCCTGCAGATCTATGGGAAATTCTATTAGCCACCAGTATAAAGGGACGACATAGATGTTGAAAAATGGACATGCCTTGGAAACTTAAGGAAGTTGTGCTACTCCGAAATTTCTAAGAATAGATCTGGATATATCTGGATACATGATAACAACCTCACTGCGACCTCACTGGAATAATGGTTAGGATTCGGGGAATCACCCCCAAATGGCCTTAATTCATTGAGGTTGGTGAAGTATTATAATTTACCCATATATATTCATATACATTTATGGGAATTATGAATTCATTTGCTTCCGATGGTGCACTTGGGTTCACGGAATTTCTATGTACTAAAAGATTTGCGATATGTAATGACACACTTATTTGTATGTCTGTATCTATATCTATGTCCGTGTCTGAGTTTTGATATGTATCTGTATATATATACGTATATTATATATATGTGTGTACACATGCCTAGACACACATTTTACCAAATATTAAACATGTTTGAACAACACAGCAGACGACTGCATTCAGTTATGTTGAGCACCAAGAATTACACATGCAGCAACCCCCCAAATCGACGGAAAAAGGTAAAGTTCGATCTTAAGCATAGCGGTTACGTACTTTTCTTTTTTTGGGTGGCTGTCTACTACATCCGAGACAATCTGACTATATTATATATACACATGTATATATATATATATATTCATAAAAGATAATACATATGTATATATATATATAGATATATATATATATATATATACTGCACATGGTGCCCCCAACTATAAGTGGCTTGAAAACTCCATCGAATTAACAGCTGCGAATCAAAGGTATCAGCAGATGCAGATGCCTGGACAGGTGCGAAAAAAACAGTTGGGCCAGCGGTTTTTTGGGGATCCAAAAATGGGGAAAAACCTGGGGAAAAACCTGGGGAAATGGGGAAAAACCTGGGAAAAACCTGGGAAAAATGGGGCGAACCTGGATTTTCTGATGCTTCTGTTAGATCTTCTGATTGGTTTATGAAAGAAGATGTTCTAAGAACCAACAAAGCATGAACTCATATATTCCCATTACAGGATAGCTTATGGTTGGGTATCTTGCTGTGAGTCAAATCCGGAAAAGATTTTGGGCTATACCAGGTGGTGTGGACCCAAAATTGCCCAAAAAAAACTGGATGGATACCCGACGCGCAAAATGACTGGTTGATGGTCGGTTAAGCATCAAACATGCAGAAAAAGGGGGGGTGAACTAACCAACAAGTTGGGGTTTCAGTGGATTTGACAACAAAAAACTGCGGGTTTTGCCGACAAACATGGTAGGTCAAGGGTGTCTTTGCATTTTCATGGAGGAATATGTCGTACGATCTTTTGCACTTTAAGTTATATTCAGCCACGCTACCATGAGGCAAATCCACTCGGAATTGCTTTGAGATGGGGCCCATGTTACCCCCCTTGGTAGTTGGGGAGATCACGCTGACCCTCAGCAGCGTGAATAGGAAAACATGTGAATAGGAACGGTTCTTGAAAGGTGTATTCTTGACAGATTTGCACATGTTCATTATGAATACGTGTATGTACAGTATATATCCATGTAGATGAGTGATGTAACTATGTTTACACATGCATTCTTTTTGATCTTGATACGATTAGAGTCAATTCTAGTCTTTTGATGTCTTTTGACCTATTCAAAAAACACACATAGGAATTAAACCATCATTAACCCTAGTCTTTTGACCTATTAACACACAGATTTAACCCTGGAATAAACCATCATTAATATTTCGATGTGGAAATCCATCCTGGTTTTTTAACCGTTTGGGAAATGATCAAAGAGCCAGGTGCAAATGGGAGATCCCATGCAGCAGCAGGCCGCTGAAATTGAAAAACCTCCGCAGGGTGGGCAAAGCTGATTTTGTGCTGGGAAATGTTTAGTCATAACCCCAGCCAAAATTGTTGATTTAAAACGATTGTTTGCACATGTTTTGAGTCGTTTTGACCCATTGAAAAAAACTAGGATCGATTGTTCACTTATTGTAACTGAGCCATTTCATTTTGACCCATTTCATTTTGACCCATTTCATTGATTGTTCATTTATTGTAACTAGGATGAACATCCAGCGAACGGCCGTCAGTCTTGACCCAATACAGGAAGTCAGACACCTCTACCTTTGTCCAAGGTTCATCAAACTGCCAGTGTTGGTTGGTCTGTTGCTATTGGAACATTTCACAGTATGGGTTTGTTTGTACATGGAGTAGCCTCAAATTTGATAGTCAGTTTATCATCAAGTTTCCATCTGTTGCCCCATGAACAGTGCATAATTTTGGGTGATACCACCATTTTTGGACAAGACAGCCGGTCAGCCGGTTGAATTGCATTCTTTAAGGCGGAAAGCCGATTAAAAAAAAAAATAGGGAAGTTGGTTTATAACTTTGCTAACTAGGATTTATAGTGGATATATATATATATATGATATTTGGGGTTATTAACCAACTTACAATTTGGGGGCTCCTGTGGAGAAATCAAAATAATTGCTGGATACATCTCAGGTGTACAATTCCTTCGACAAAAATCAAGTCCCAGGTGTAAATGGAGGTTTTCCTGGCTGGGAAAATCATCGAACAAAATGGGTGATTTTCCATTGCTATGTTGATTTCTAGAGGGTAAATCCATGAAAGTGAGTCGATTCACCTGCTGAGGGTCACAAAATGAAAATATTGATGGTTGCAGAATAGATTCACTTGAATTTCTGACTTGGCAAACCAAGTCAAGCTCTTCAAAAGATTTTTCTCACATATCCTCCGGTAATATAATAACATAGCTATGATTTGTAGATGATTTACGGTACCCATTAACATTTTTTGGTGTTCCGTAGCTATGCAGAAGGTGACTGGACGGTTGGGGTAACATGTTGACGTAGGCCATGATGCAGCAGATGCAGATGCAGCAGATGATGGCACAGGCAGGCCGTACATGTAGATGGGTCTGTCTGAAAATGGACAAAATCCCCTTTTATAGATATTTATAGATGGAACATCAGCCATGTATGATAATAGAGATGATATCCCAAACTATGCAATGTTCGCCCATTTATAGACGATATCCCAAACTATGCAATGTTGATAGAGGAAACCATGACAATGATTGACCATCAAAATTTGTCGCTTTGTCTATTTTTGCGAAGCCAAATGGATTATATAGACTAAATGGGTGAGTAATTCAATGGTTCGAATGATTTTGTAGAGATTGAAGTTTGTGAGGTCGTGTGTTGAATGAAAGAACGTAAATATAAAAAAATGCAACAAAAATACAATAAACATGGAAAAACACTGGCATACTGAAAGAACGATGCGAGATAAAAGAGCAAGAAATAGTTGAGAGTTAGAAAATTTCAATTTACGAAATAACTGCTATTAAATAGGCGCGAATTGTTGGGGAATGATGATTTACAAATGATGTTCGATAAAGGTAAGAGACAGAACAATAAGCACACGGAAATAATGTAAAGCTCATGAGTTGAAACGAACGCATAACATACAGAGCGAGAACGTTATGAAAAGTTATTGCTCTTAAAAAAATAAGACAAAAATAAAACAGAAATTTACGAAACACTAGGAAAAAAACATGCATTTTATACATTTTTTATACTTGTCACGCATACACTCGCTCGTCTTTATACATTTATTTCGCTATCTCTAGAGCGATCCTTTTTTGTTTATGGTTTTCACTGGCGCTTTTTACATTCCTCATTTTCAAAAAATTAAGTAACGGGATAACCAGCAATACGATATGTGGTTTTGGTAGAAACTAGACTAATTGTACCCCCCAATGGCCCTCAAGTAATTGAGAAACACATGATAAATCATGTTTTTTTTGTTGAGACGAAGACAAAATTGTTCTTGACTGTGTAAACCGACTCGTAATCTCCAGGGTTTCTGGTGATCCGCAACAAAAATAATACAGAAAATCAAATCCCAGTAAACTTAGAAGGTTATCCAGTATGCATTTTCTGTCAAGGATTTGCATTGTTTATCCTTAGGTTTTGTTCTGCTGTTTTTGGGTTGCAGTATGTGGACTTTGAGAATGCCTAAGATTAATCCGTTGGAAAAAAAAAACAAACGTGATAGTCATAGCCGCTTCAATCAACCAGGATTACCCTCTGGTGAACTAACATAGCAATGGAAAATGGCCATAGAAATAGTGGATTTTCCCATTAAAAATGGTGGATCTTTCCATAGCTTTTTGTATGTTTACCAGAGGGAATTTTAAAAAACTGGGGGCTTGGTACTACCCTTCAAAGGGCTGATGGGATGATCCTCCGATCATCCCTGAAAATTCCTGCCGTAGATTCCGTTCGCGGCGCTTCTGGATGGATTCTGGTGGATAAAAACCAATAGAAAGAAAATATGGACCTATGGACATGTGTATGCATCTGTATATATATATATATCTGGGTAAATTATGATATTTCACTAACCTGAATTAAAGCCATTTGGGAATGATTCCCCTTATTAACCATGATTATAGTGAGGTCGCAGTGAGGTCGTTATAATTTACCCAGATATACATATATATATATGTATCCAAATCATCTACGGTATAGATTTAATTATCCCATTATAATCCACTATCATTTTTTTGAATAAACTCCCAGAGTTTTGAAGACTTTTCCACATCTAGATTCTGACGCGTGATTTGGAATAATATTTGTTTGGCATAAGCACCCATTCAGAAGTAATTTGAGAAGTCACGGACGGTTTTGGGTAATACCCAGGCCGTTCTAAACCTGAAAAAACAGTGTGTTTACCGTTTTTGGAGTACTTTGAGGGGCACAATGTTTTAAAATTTTGCTATTGACCCTCTGGTAGCTCAAAATCTTTGACTTTAGCCATATGGGATGGACGGGGGACGACAACGACCATGCCCATTGCTGCTTATATCCTCCAGTCTGTGGATTCGCAGTTGTGTTGTCAACGTGACGATTTATGTTGCTTGTTTATTTTGCTTGTTGGTGGTCATCCAACTTGTTCGATTCATCCCATTTTTGGTTGCTTGAATCTGAGTAACATCCACTTTCCAATCGCATTTTTGTTGGCTGTTGCTTGAAAAGCCAACTGCTTTTTTGTTGGTGAAGTCTGTCTTTGTTTGTTGGATTCGGATTTTCAGAACACGATATTTTCCACAGATTTCACAGATTTCTGATTTCGGCTTAAATCGCCAGTTAAAATCTGAAAAATCACCAGTTTTGATGGCTATCTCCCTAGGTCTGCTGGTGACCCATCTTTTCCTCGGGGCAAACTTTCCACCAAAAACCGGCAGGGCGGTCACTGTCAGCTGGGGAGCACAGTGAACTCGGTGAACGCGGTGAACGTTGACCCGGGCAGGATCAGATTTACGATACCAGAAAAATTAAGTAATTGAAGTAGTGTAACAATGGATCATAATAGACTTATGATTTTGAGAATTTTGTCAATCGATTTTTTTCTAGTTGGTGGTTTGGAACATTTTTTTTTCCATTCAGTTGGGAATAATCATCCTAACTGACGAACTCATATTTTTCAGAGGGGTTGAAACCACCAACCAGTTAAGTAGTGTAACAAGGGATCATAATAGACTTATGATGGCCAACTGAGCTACAGAAGGGTTGTAGTATATAGTTTGAATTAAACATGTGAAAGACATGTGCTTAAAAAATGCATTACTTTTGAAATGTGAAAAACATGTATTCTAAAAATGTACACAAAATGTGAAAAAATGTTTTGTTTAGATCAATTTTGAAGCTTTGTTCGCTTTTCCTTTTTCATGTGATTTTATGTTTTTGCTCCTGGTAGTCATTGTTTTGCTATAGATAAATTAAATAGATCTGCGATCTGCGCAGTCCACTTCCGATCGATTTGAACTGCTCCTCTCCGATTTTCAATCTGCAGAAGTTGGGCAGGCAGCAAAGTAACTGCAGCAAAACTGGCCCCAAAAAATCAATCCTGAAGAAACGATTTCAGAGTTACACAATAGAATGGCCATTGTAGACTGGCCATATAGATAGAATTATTGATAGTATGTATAGATGTATAGAATGTATAGATGTTCCTAAAATGTATATTAAATATATTTGCCATTATTGCTCATGACCATAAAAGACTATTATATAATTGTCAGTAATAGACCATTATACAATAGACTTTTATCTAGTGGCTATCATACAATGGATTATTGAGGAATTAAGCAGCAGATTTATTGGGTAATTAACCACATTTAGCCACCAGATATTAGGGATCTAATTTGTTTATTTAGTAAATGGGGATTTTTCGCCAATGGAATTTGCGGGAAATTTTACATGAAACTTTTCACCAGCCATTTCCCAACTCCGATGGGGAGTTCATGGAAAAGCACGTGACTTGTCTTGTGCAAGCATTCTTTGGCAGGTGATTTTGCAGGTTTCGATTCAACCAGCTCACAGCTTTTTTTTAAATGCAGCCATGAATAACCATGATATTTATCATGTAAACATATGTAAACATATTACAGCTTGAATTGATGAAACAACCGTAGAATTCTGTTGGAATTTTGCTTACAGTGGAATTCTACCCTCTGGTAATTCAACACGACTGGCTAGGTTCAATCCCCATAATCATGATCAAATCCTATAAAGTCCCCTATAAAGTCCCTTAGATTCCCATTAAATCACATACCCTCTGGTAAAACATACAAAAAGCTATTGAAAATGGCCATTTATAGTGAGTTGTCCCATTAAAAATGGTGATTTTCCATAGCTATGTTAGTTTACCAGAGGGTAAAATTACCATGAAATCCCATAAAGCCACTGCCTTTCAGTTGACACAACATGACGTTGCAAAGGCCCGGCTACATGCCCATGGATGTGGGACAGGTGGGAGAGACATATCGGACATATCGGCCAAAAATTTGGCTGTGAGCGACATATACTTACTGGTGCTTACTGTAGTAGGGGATGATGGAGAATGATTCATTAATTCTAGAGTCATAGAGATGAGTTTCTACCTAAAGACCTGCTGATTTCCCCGCCGTGTTGGTATCCTCGGTGCGATAAGTATTTACAATCGTCTCATTCCCCCATTACTAATCACCAGTAAGTCTACCATGAACATCATCATAACGTCGATAGTGGACGACCAATAATTCAATTAGGAGTTTGCATGTGATGTACACAAATATAACTGATAGCGAATATCTATTTGGTGAACAACCATTGTGACTTTAATCACCGATAGAACCAGTGTATATTACATATATATATATATATGTATATATATATATATACATGCGACTATTTTTGTTCAAAACATGATTCAGCCAATAAAACTGGGGCTGTAATTAGCGTGATACTTTGTGGGCTGGTTCCAGCGAGGGTAAGTTTAAGTAGCGTGATAGTCCACGTGTATATATTTGGTGTCATCATCAACTTCCTAAGTGGGTGAAGCACCACGTAGATGCAGTTGATCAAGCAACACCAGATCCGAGATCTGGGTCACTGGGTCAACAAAAGTTACAACTCCCCAAAATGGGTTAACGGTTAACCAATGAATCAAGGTCTCAATGGCTGTAAAGTCAAGCCATGTCAAGCCTATGCACTGGAGCGTTTGAATAGCTATCTGAAAAGGATAGTCATTTTTACTGTGGCGGGTGGCGAGTCTTCTCATACCATCCAAATCGTGGTGGAAGGGCCATGGCTTCAATGGGAATTTCAGGATCCTAAAATAGAGGTACTGTACCATATAAGGCCATATTTTGTGGGGATATTCCCTTACATAGGCCTTATATAGGCCTTATATAGGCCTTATATATGGTAGGTACCTCCAATCTAGGATCCTGAAATGGCCATTGATGGCTGTGTTGAAGTGCTCAGGTATATCCACAGCAGATGGGTATGCAGTGTGGCTCCCAGTGTTCCAATATTCGGCGGATGCCTGTCAACAGAAAAAAACGACTACAGCATATTCAATGGTACTGGCAAATATCATCACACTATAGATCTTGGCATGACATTTAGTTCAGGATGTTTGACGGAACTTAGCGTTGATACTAGTTCATACAGAAGAACCCTCTATCTTTTGTAAGTGTATGGCTCAAAGGCTTGTTTGGGTGCGCTGTCATGTTCTTTATTGTTGATTTACAGCCATTTTTTGGGTGAATATTGCAAGTTCCTCGTGGGACTTTGTTTGATTCGCTTCGGAGGGTAGTTAGTATATTGTGAAAGGCGGACCGGACGTGTATTTTCTGATTGTCTCTGTACGATGTTACATTATCAAACAAAATCGGAATATCAAAGAGTATGGAGTGAATTATATGTGTAATTATATTCTATTATTCTTGGAAAATCGGAATATCAGACACAACACACCGAAACACTGAGTTTGCTCGCAAACTTCGCCCAGGTATGGCTGTCAGCAAGGCCGCTGTGTAGCTCCAATCAACTTCCAACCGGGCAATAGGTAAATCATTTGTTGGCGCACTTCCACGTTGGGTTTTCCCATCAAAAATGACAGGCCCAACAGGAAGACATCCCAGCTAGAAGTTGAGAATATAGCCCCATCTCACTTTAGATATCTAAACCAACTAAGCTATCATTTGGAGGGCCTTTCCTGCATTCATGGGAAGTCACTACTTGTATCAGCCAAAGCCCCCTTCGTTTTTGATCCTCAAAAATGCTGAAAACTCCCATCGAGACCCCATTTTGTTCGTTAAATCGCCATTGTTGTTGGGTAAATCACCACTTTTGTCGCTTAAAAACACTATTTTTGTTGGGTACATCACTCGATTTTTTTTCTTCTGTCAATCACTCGATTTGTGTTGAGTAAATCAGATGTAAATCAGCATAAAATTGCTGGGTAAATCACTGGAAAACCACCCAAATTCAATTGCTGGGTAGATGATAATCATTTTCCCATGGTTTTCCTCCATGGTTTTCCTCCATGGTTATCCTCACTGGTTGGTGGTTTGGAACATTTTTTATTTTCCCCAATAGTTGGGATGATGATCCAATCTGACTAATATTTTTCAGAGGGGTAGGTATACCACCAACCAGCTCATGTTTTAGATCACCATTCACTCCTCGACAGGCGGAGATCCCATGGCGGCCATGGCCCAGGTGGAAATTTTTACCGACGGGAACAGTAATGACGGTGCTATATGGATGGATATACACATAGATATGTGTGTATACCTATATATATATATATTATATACATATATATGTAATTATATATATAAGTATAACCTATCTGTATATATAAATTGATATATGTATATATATATAATTTATCTATATAAATTGAATACAGTGGTGAAAAATGATATTTCTTAATTCTACATGTATATAAAGTGATTCAACCGTCAAACATGAGTATTCTATGAGCACACAGAAATAAGTTGAGGGTTTGGGGCAGAATCGCACTGCAGTGTCGATGCTCGTTTTAATTCCAGGGTAGCTGAGAGTGTTTTGTTCAAATATCATGAAGATCTATGAAAATCTAAGGGTAGCCCCACAAGGGTCACAATTTAAACACACTTTTTGAGTAGGCCAAAAACAGAAGGAAGGGGGCGACATGACATATCAACACTCCTTGATGCAAAGTATTGGATCTGGCAAAAGTCCTTTCAGAAAGAAACACATACTCTTTTGTGCTGGAAATGTGTGAGCCACAAACCATCAGAAACCATCAAAAACCATCAGAAACCATCAGAAAACAATCAAAAACCACCAGAAACCACCAGAAACCATCAAAAACCCATCAGAAACCCATCAAAAACCATCAGAAAACATCAGAAACCATCAAAAATTATCGAACCATCGACTGGTTTCTAGATAATTTTCCGATACAAAAGTGGCAATTCCGCATTTTGTTGTTTTTCGGATCTCGACCAGGGGCAGATGGTACAACCGGGATGTCAGGCTTGAGATTGGGTCAACGGTTGTGGTGGCAATGACCCCTGCTTCTTTAGGAGTCACCTCGGGTACCTCAGGGTAAACCAACATAGATGTGGAAAAGCCATGGAAATGATCTACTTTCATGGTGGCTAAACTCCGAATTGTTCGATACTGTTGGTTTCCACAGAGTACTGGTACTTGAGTCCAACGTACCTGCTCGTACCTTCTGATTTTCTCTCATTTGTATTTTCTATCTTGTCATATCTTATGTATATATATATGTATAATCCGTTTCATGTCATTTCTCATCTGCCATAAAATTGTCTTCTCTGTCTCATTTGTCCCATCTATTTGATTTGTCTTATCTGTCTCACCTGTCTTATCTGTCATGTCTCTCTATCTACCGATCTATCTACTACAATATAACCAGTTGTACCCTCCGGTAATCAAACATTACAATGGAAACTTCTCCCTTTAATTAGTTCGATGATTTTCCCAGCTACAAACCTCCATTTATAAGGGATGTCCTAGCCTGTCATGTTTGATTACTGAAGGGTATATGGCTTACTAGCAGTGCCGACAGACGATAGGGGGCTGCCACAGTCCACCCCAACAATGAATTGATCTGGAAAATGGGGTATACCCTGCAGTTATGGCCAGTTTGTTCCTAAAAGATATGATGACAATTGATGACACGCCAAATTTATAAATCAGATCAATTCAGATTTTTGTTCTAATCGCCATACTGTTCAGATTTTCATGAAGCATGTCTCAAATTCTTGAATAAATTTCTATTCAGGCACCCAGATCTAGGTGGCAGGACAGGCAGTTGGAAGAAGTGAGGTTGATATGATGATTCTTCCATGTTCTCATTGAACATGGCAATTTTTGGGTTCAATGGTAATTGTGAATGCAATATTAACTTTTGAATGCAACACCGGTGCCTGTTTTCCGCGGATTCATGATATCTATCCTGTGAGAGCTGACAAAATCTGCCTCAACCTTTGAACTCTTCAACAAAGCATTCCGTGCATGATGTGTCTTCTCAGGTGCTTCCCAAAAAGCGCCCAAAGAATTGATCGATCAGTCTTACCGAGTGTTTGGCATTGAAAATCCCTCAAGAAACAGCAGTTATCCTGGATTTTATCTCGGATTTATCTTTGATTTGGATGTTTCCAAAAAGTCAAATGTGGAATATCATTGGGGAATATGGAAACCAGCTTGGGTACCAACTGGTTGGTCATTCATAATACTGGGTAATAATATTCCAATATTTATCAGGTGTACCCCCAGGCCTCATCATGCAGTCGTCATGGATGACCATTTTACTGAGTAACACCATGCAGAGGATTGGAGATCCTCCATGACTTTAGAAATCCCCACCGGATCTACCGGTTTTATCTACAGCAAATGCGAAAACCCGAAAATCCATGATAGGGAAATCAGTATGAATAGGATTGAATAGGTACCCTCTGGCAGGAGGCCCTCTGGTAAACTAACATAACTATGGAAAATCACCATTTTTAATGGGAAAACTCACTATTTCAATGGCCATTTTCAATAGCAAACTGTTAAATTACCAGATGGTCATGTTTTTATGGATTCCATAGAGGGATCATTTCCCCATGGATTTTCATCACTATATTTTCATATATATATACTTATATATAACTATATAATTGTATCTATATATCTATATCTATATATATATATATTATAGTCACCATAATCATTTTTCCGAGTCAGAAATCGATTCATTTCACCGCGAAGCTATCGATTTCACGATTTTTTTCAGGCCGGTGGATGTCAGTCGGCATCTCAGTGGACGGCATCAAGTCGTCATGTGGAGCTGCATGGAAACATATTGAAAACACATGTTTTTTTTTTTTAATGGAAAGATGGATAGAATTGAAAAAATAAAATTAGCAATAATAGATCTTTAGCAATAACACAGTTTTTATTGAAAATGGATAAAATTAGCAATTAAAGAAAAGATAGACTTATAACTTAAGTGATAGAATTAGCAATGAAAAGATAGACTTATCTGCGAGTCAATGGAAAATGGATAGAATTAGCAATTTCCATCTTGTTAAAAGGGCGATGTGAATCGGATCAACAACTCGTCATTGATTAGAACTTAGGAAATATGAGTGTGTCATATATCAACGTGCATATACATATCGTGCCAAAGATCAGCATTTTTTGGGTGGCTAATTTGATAAAGCCAAATTGAACTCCAATTTGTTTAATGTTGGTACAGGCAATCGAATGGCAAAACTAGGTATAGCGCCAGTTGTTGATTAATTTGTAGATAAAATTAGGTATTGTGATTTGGGTTTACAACAGAACCAATCTTAGAATTGGATGATGTGACAATATTTGAGTAAAAAGTCCATGGTTCGATTTCCCCTTCAATCCATTGTGATTTGGTATGTTCACCAATTTCCCATATGTTTTTTTCCAATATATACTGTATATACATATACTGTGTATATAAATATACTGTATATATATATTGAATATATATATATACATAAATATATACAGTATATATATATATGTATACCTAATATCCACATTTAATACATCTATCGTCTTTCTATATTGTCTGGCATTTTTCATCTCATTCCAGGGACGATTTTTTTCACCAACTGCTTGACCTCAGGCAGCAAAGCGTTCAATTGCAACCGGTACAGGCGGCTGGTGTGTTGAGCGACACAGTGCCATGCCGGGCCGCGGTTGGTCAAAAATACCTATAGGGTGATTTTGAATCCCCATATTTTGCTGCAAAGAGTCTAATTACAGGATATTCTTATGTATAAAACATATGCTTTACATACATGCATGCATGCATAGATGCATACAAACCTACGTACATTTACATTTAGATAGATAGTTAAGTAAGATAGATAGATAGATAGATAGATAGATAGATTGGCAGGCAGACAGACAGGCAGGCAGACAGGCAGACATACACACACACATATATATATATTATTTTCACCAACACATAGACTAGACATGGAAAGGGAATCCCAAACCTAAGTTCGACGACCTTCCTTACGTTGTCGATAAAACATCCCAGCATCGGAATATTTTTTTCACCATGATCATCCCCTTTTGGACATTCCATTGCTGCAGGCTCAACCTCAAGCTCAAGTAGAGCCCAGTGCGCAAGCGTCTCTTCCTCCTGCTCAGCCCAAAGCTGCGGCCCTTCCGGACAGACCAGCAGCACCAGCAGCACCAGCAGCCGCAGCCGCGGAGCCAGCACCCGCGGAACCAGCGGCAGAAGCGGCTGCAGAAGCACCGTCCAAGACGGTGAGCGAAGCGGGTGAAGCGGGTGAAGCAACGGCAGCAACGGCAACGCCAGTGGAGGGGAAGGAAACTTGGTGCTGGAACGATTGACTCAACGGCCCTTTCAGGGGCCGCTTCGATGGGTTTTTATAGGCTTTTGGTAACCTCCATGTTGAATACCTAAAATGGCCATTGATCAAGTGCAAAACTCCGCTGAATCATCCAAACCTCACCTAGTACATGACTATCCTAATGTCTTTCATACTTATTTTGGCAGCAAAATGGGGGTTTCCTAAAATGGTGGTACCCCAAGTCACCATAGGTGTCAATACTAAAATATGCTAAAATGGTTTTATTGTGGATAATTTGGGGTACCCCTATTATCCCCAAATCATAATTTTTAGTGCCCGCACTTTGAGGATGAAACACCTCACCCAGCGGGGTCTGAAGTCGCGCCGGAGACGACGTTGGAGTCTGTACCTCCTGCAGTGTTGGAGGCCAAACCCAAACCCAAAAGTCACTTGGATGAAGTTGTGAAGCATTTTCGGTGAATACTGTGGATGGAAGAAATGCTGCACCAGTTGGTAGATGGTACACATCCCCTTATAATCCCATGATTTTACAGTGTTGAATTATGTTGCCAATTTACAAATAGTACCTACTGGTGCAGGATTTCTTCCATCCACAGTATTTTGAAGGTGCAATGTTTTTTTTTCTTGGCTTGAAGGTAAAATATGGTATGAGATTGTAAATTTATTTCTTCGGGAACCATGGATGCTGGCCATGAATCAGTCTATCATATTTTATTCGTTGTTGGTTAGAATTTACACGAATATATTGGTACGCTGATTTAAGCAATGAAGAGTTCCTTCAGATTTTCACGTGACTTCCAATGCAAATCCTCACTTTTCCTCTATATAATTATACATACATATATATACATACATGGCACATATACATGTGTGATATGTGGGATATATGATATATCTATATATATATACATGTATGTATGGTATGTATATATATATATAACATACATATACACAAAAATACATGTATTGTATATAATATACATATTATATACATCATGGTCATTTCTGGTGGACCCGTGTTGGCTGCCCATGTTCATGCCATCATGGAAGGGGGTCACATGGGGCGCAGCTGCGGTCACTTAAGTTGTTACTCTCTTCGTCAAGCACAATATTTGATGCTTGATAAAGAGAGAAACATATCCCCAAATATCATATATATATAATATTGTACGGATATATATATATAATATTATCATGTTCTCTCTCTCTCTCTATATATATGTATAGCATACTAATATTTGGTATGGTACTCTGGTATGGTCGTAGAAACCCTGAGGTAAGTGGGATCAAGGTGCTCCGGAAGACGGCGCCCCCCCGGGCCCACAAGGCCCACAAGGCCCGCAGGGCCCGCCGGGCCCGCAGGGCCCGCAGCCACTGACCCCTGGCCCCGTGCAACAGATGGGCGCGGTGGATCAGATGCTTAGCGTTCCATCGTCATGGGGGATTTCTCGATGGCAAAAATGGGGATTTCATCAATTTATATCAACTTCATCCGCAAAAATGGTGGAAGTATCCAAAAATGCGTAAGCTGCATGGGGATATATTTGTTCCAATCAGCAGTTTGTGACTTCAAGGAGTCTCCATGGGTCAATGTTGAGCCATTTCAATCAGGGCATCAAGCACACATCAGGAAAGCTCTTGTTGGTTCCAGATGCTTTTGGCTTCAACTCTCAATTTCATAAGTTTTGTTTTTCCACGTTTTTCCAGCAGCTAGTGGAATGAATATCACCCAAAAACACAGCTGACTTTTTTTTTTTTACGGTGGGTCCGACCCGGTTTTCCATTCTCGGGACCGATAGATGGCTTTTTGATGCGGCTGCCATGGTGACCATCCCCCAACAGTCATCAGCATTTTATGACGGTATGGAAATCCCATTGGCCCAGTCATTTTTGTTGTAAAAATTGCATTTTATGGTGAAAAGCACCATTAGTTTGTTAATAATTAATGACAATAATAAAACGTGATGGTGATGATGTCCATGATGGTGATGATGATGGTAATGATGAGGATGATGTAGACCAACATGACAATGATTGCAGATGTGGGCACCTCCTCTTCAGGGCCCAGGTGGGCCAGCCTCACTGGACTTCCCATTCGAAGACTACAATGGGGTGTTTATTTTTTGGTTTCCACTAAGATTTCTGATACGATATGTCAGCTGTCAGCTGTCGTGTGTCCCCCCTCCAAGGATGCAGCAACAGCAGCAGATGCAACAGCAGCAGATGCAGCAGCAGCAGATGATGCAGCAGCAACAGATGCAGCAGCAACAGATGCAGCAGCAGCAAATGCAGCAACAGCAACAGTATCTTGGCTGAGTTCGTCCTGAGTTGGTCCTGAGTTGGTCTATGGGGTGAAAAGTGAATGAGGAACAGCACATGGCCTAGTTTTGGGCGGAAACAGTATGCCAGACTCTTGAAAAGAATGAATTCGGACCTTTTGCTGAAGACCTCCTATGATTTGTTTCAGGCATTAGCAGGCGTCACTTGTGGCCTGCTATTTCATAGCAACCTTCAAAAGAATTCAACAAATAGACTAAAGCTGATTTTACTAAATCCAGTTCTTAAATAGAATCAATTGAACCCTTTCGTGCTTCTTTTTGGGGTTTGCGAACAGATAGCAGTTTGATTACCATGAGAAGCCACAAAGTTTGAGGTCAAGGACCTGATTTTTGCGACAAATCCACAGAATTCCCACTTGAGCAGTTTCAAAACCCTCAGTTGATTGATGATTTTAATTATAGACTTATGTTTTTTCCCAATTATACTGGGGATTATCATAAACCCTATGAGCTTGGAATCCATCCCAGTGGGTATTGGCAAGGTCTTTTGGGATGTGAACACCTGGTTTCCGGCATATAACCGAGGCATATGTCGGATATGCTGGGGGGTGACGTATCGTCCAGGTTACGAGTTGGGATACACAGCCACGTAGGGTCATGCCCCCCCAAGCACATCAGGTTCGAATATCAACAGCAGCTTCAACAGCAGCAGCTTCAGCAGATGCAGGTACGGAAGGGATCGAATTCTCGACGCGCAGCGTCAACCAGGTTGATGAGGTATCATGTTTATTGGTTTTAACAACAAAAATATAGAGACAGACAGTTGATATATTATGGTTGATTGGTTATAATATGGGGTTATGGCCCTACTTGGCAAACAGGGGGATCATGAACATATAAAGCAATGCCAGAGGGTTTATGCTAGCTGGTTAGCGGTCACCGGTTTGATATGTTTTGATTTTCAGCTACAATCCTTCCTACTGGTACCTGGGATTATGTTTGATTCTCTTGAAGCACTTGAAACGTTGTTTGTTCTTTTTGAAATTCCAACTTGGGATTACTAGGATAATCCTGACATACTTGAAACATTATTGGTCCTGTTTGAAATATGCCGATTCTCCTTATACTTCGGATGATAATCCCAATCTACCAAGATTTGCTTTCTGATGGAGTGAAACCACCAACCAGCAAGTGATTCGGGCATTCCTAGCACAACTTTTCATGTTCAAAGCATGACACACCAAAGACCTTGAATGACAAGTGCCTAGACCGTCAATTTAACAATGACTGAAAGAAGTGGTGAAAGTATCAACATTTTGATGTACTATACCCGGGTTTCGAGGTATATTGAGTATCTAGATACATCCATTTGCCATTCACCAGCTTGTTTTTCCGCCTTGGTCGCACTGCGACCCGTTGGTCGCTGGTCTGGACGGATGATTTCTTTGGTTGGAAAGGTTCAACTGGACAGAAAAAACCTTGACTGGTTGGTGGTTTGGAACATGACAATCATCATATTTTTCAGAGGGGTTGAAACTGTTAAACCACCAGTTTCAGTTGAATAATTTTCAGAAAAATCCACGAACCTCAGAGGTGTCCAACTTGCTGGGTAAATTATGTTGCGACCGAAGCCTGTTCTCCCTCACTGGAATCATGGTTTTCATATGGGAAACCATTCCCAAATATCCTGGAAATTTAGGTTAGTGAAATATTATAATTTACCCAGATAACTTGGTCTTTTTTCCCTCTTTGGAAGCAATGAACTTCACCAGGCACAGCAGATGATGATGGGACAGGCGCAGCATGGCGCAGCTGTGGATTTTTTTCGGGTGAAATCGGATTGGATTTTCCACCGTTATCGTTTTGTATGTTGAAATCCTAGGGCTAGATATAAATAGGTTATTCACATTTATAGAATCTAGAATTAAGCTCCTTGCGCGCGTTCAGCCTCCAGTCTGTCAAGTCTTGCATCCATCATATCTAACATCCTCTGACTCTGATTCTGCTGCTGCTGCAGCATAGAAACCAGAGTAGCCACAAGATCGCTTGAACTTCCTGGATAGTTTTCAGAACCGTTTCCAGCAGGCACACTTCTCCCAAGAGCTTATCATGTGGTACACCATTTATTGCCATCTCGAATATTCCCACCAATGAAAAGGGAAAAAGCCATGAAAAAGCCATCCCCAAGTGCTAGATCTATTGTTGGGTTTACCTGATTCTAGTATGGATTAAATCCAGTTATACAAGACTAAAGAAGTTGTAGTTTCAACCGAGCACGCTCTTTGTTTGCTAGTGGTCTGGGGCTGAGTCAATGGTCAGCGGGAACACTTGCCCAAAATTGGCCACGCTGAATGTACCATACCATATCTAAAGTGCACTGGCTTTCAACCGCTCAGTGTGTTTTGGAGTGGCCTGTGGCAACCAGCTTCCATTTGAGAGCCCCTTTCTGAATGATTGTTCTGATTCCATCCTCTACTCATGAAGATTTACCCATAAACTATCCTCTAAGAGAAACAATGCTTCAAGATACTAGACCCACTATTTCTTGAGGTCATATATATATATATCTATATCAATCATGCTGCGGTACTTGTGGGTAAAACACATTCATCGTTGGTAGTTCTCCAAGTTCTCCTCTCTTCGGTTGGCTATCTATGCCACTATCATCTAATATCTATGTATACCTGATATATATATATATACATATATATATATATGTATATTGGATCTGTATCTACATGCAGACATTACATATATTACATGTGTTACTATATTCCGTCTATTACACATTTTACACGTATGACGTATTACATATATTACAGTATATATATATATATATATATGTAGTACATACAAGATTACATGTATGTAAACTTATCCTGGAGTAGAATATGAAACTTTCCAAGAATCCTCACCAAAATGGGAAGATGTATAAAAAACATACCATATTCAGCATGTTCACCATATTCTAATCCAGGATTGCTGTTTTTTGGCATTTCCAGGGTGTCATGGGGATACCCCCTCCTTCATCTATTGAGTTGGATCGAAATAAACCATGAAAACCATCCAGCGAGCTTGGAGTATCCCCATTTCTGGAAACCCCCCATTTATCATTATCTATTAGTAGTAGAATACTATTAGATATACTATAGATTATCTATTAGATATGATATACTATAGATCTACTATAGATATACTATAGATATACTATAGCTAGCTATCGATTATATTCAAAGTTTCAGACAGTCCCACAGTCCAAATCAGTCCAACATGTTTTTAATTTAAACTTATGCCCTCCAAGATGGCCTAATACAATCTAATACATAATGGGTCAATTATGTTGCGACCTCACTGTTCTCCCTCACTGGAAATCATGTTTTTTTTTAAATGTTAATAAGGGAAATCATTCCCAAATGGCCCAACAATTTAGGTTTATATATTCCTGTACATACAGTACATACAGTACATATATGACATATAAGACCCCTCATGTTTTGCTGCACCACAGGTTCCCCAGCTCGGACCTCGGTTTTTTTTTTTTGCGCAGCAGTTGACCGTTTTCTTCGTTTTTTTGGTTCAAAATGGTCATGAAGTGTCCAGTAACTCAGTAACTGAATACACCTGAATACTTTAAATGCGTATTTTTGGGATCATCATTGAAGAATATTGAAGAATTAGAACTTCCTTGACATTTGATGAAAAAATTGGCTGACAATTTTAGCTGATAAACAGATATAAACAACTAAAACAGAATGATTTCTGGACTATTTGCATTTTTCTGAAAACATAGCTTGAAATTTCAGACAGCAGATAGATGGTGCTGATTCGTGGCTATTTTAAGTGAAATACAGGTGGCCTTATTTTCCAAGTGGTTGGTCAAGATAAGCCCCAAAGATAAACCGATAAACCCAACATTATTGGGAGGGTCACCAAAATGGGTGGTGGTTGAATCTATATACATGGTTGACACTGGGAACAGATTTGCATCTTCCGAGGATGCCGAACATCAAATCCTGACCCAATGAACGTGGAGTCAAGACACAACAGCAAATGGCAATGTAGTTTGATAGATGTATAGTACATCGATGAATATATATATATACACATGTGTATCACATATATATATACATATACACATATACATATACATGTATACATATGCATACACATGTACATAGACACATACACATGTGTACACACCATCCACATTATGTTGGCACGTCCCAGTTTTTATTGCATCGACGATCATCCACATTCTTTCGAGGTAAAATGCCATGCATGACTACCACCAACATGTTATGTTTTTTTTCGTGACCTCTCAACTTTCTCACATGTTCTCACCATTGCTAGCTGCACCCTTGGAAACTCGCATCCCGTAACTCCCAAGGCCGTTAACACGATGTCATTTCCAAGAAGAACCTGAAAGACTTCAGGGTTTGAGGGTAGTTCGAGCAAGTGTTCAGATGAATTTTGGCAATCATATTTGGCTGGTTGGTGGTTTGGAACATGAATTTTATATAATTTTATGACTTTCCATCATATCTGGGATGTCATCCTTCCCATTGACGAACTGGGCAGCAGCCCACCAGCGGTTTTTTTATCAGTGGATCATCTGCTGTCGGACTGCATGACTTGGGGGTACCAATTTCCATAGCTATTGAAAATGGCCATTTATAGTGAGTTTTCCGATTAAAAATGGTGATTTTCCATAGCTATGTTAGTTTACCAGAGGGTATCATATATTTTTTGTTGCCGAAATATCTCCCGAATCACAGTTGTCAATCATCTTTTTCTTGGAACCATGGTTTTTCATGGTTTTTCCATATCTACTGAATCTACAAAACCTTGGATCTGTTCATTGCAATCTATCCCCAGAAAAGAATAACAAACACATACTCCCACGATGGTTCATTAAAAGGTGGGGCATAAGCACCAGCAAACGTATATAGCTATAAAACTCCGAGATCCCCAGGAAATACCATGAATTTCCCATCAAAAAATCCTATCATTTTCTATGATACACTGCAGTCGGTTCCTTACTAAGGCAAGGCTATGTGCAATATGCCCCTGATGTGCGATGCCCCAGCCGCTGTTTTTGTTGAGCTGAAGGTGGATTGGTAGAAATGGTGGACAGAAATGCCCACATTCTTGCATGTATTTTGGAAGATAGATCATCAAAATTTGCGGTAGTCTATTTTTGGACACACCTATTTTGAGAAGATCATCTACGTAGATATGCGCTTGAATGAAAGAGAACAGTAACAACAGAAGTTGGGTGGAACACATTTAAATTGTGGGTAGTTTGAGCAATGTGATCCCTAGCAATCCAGCCAGGGAGTTACCACTGGCAAGCTCAGCAAGCATGGCATGTTTGTCCATGACTTAGTAGGTGTTTCTGGAAAATCCGATGTGATCAAGTCCAGTATTAGGGACCTGGTGGTAGATGGTTTATTACATTATGGCTTTCCAGTGCTTTCCATAGCTATGGGACAGTCAGAGGGTATGCTATGCTGCTATATCCATCCTAGAAACACTTTTTTTTTGCAGATTGACTTCGAAGTTTTTAAGTACCTAAGTACATCTAGCCTCCTAGGTGCTGGAAAGTGCATTGTTTTTTTTTTTTTAAAGGATGTGTCAGGCAACGGAGCTTTTCCCCATGTTTGATTTCCGCTGATCACGAAACAAGATCCGATCCTATTCAGGGATGACCAATGGCGCTCCTGGCTGGCATTCGTTACAATGCGACTTTGGCCAGGTGACTTTTTGAAGTGACTTCTAGAACTATACTAACTATACATATATAATCATATATATATATATACTGAATTAAGAACTCTGAATTTTGTGTTACACAAAAAGTTTCTGAATAATTATCCCGAAAGTACCAAAAACATGCCAGGTGAATGTGAACAATACATGACCAAGAGATGGGTTTTCGGTATCCCTCGGTATCGCTCCCGTGTGTCAAGGCCTGCGGATGCCAAATGGCGGGCCAAATGCCACAGTGCGAAGCCCAGGTGAATCGCTAATGGATGGATCTGGATTGATTTGGTTAAGATATAGTTAGTATAGTTAGTATAGTTCTAAATTTTGGTTAAGACTATCTATCTTGCACTTGTTGCCAAAAGCAATGATCAACACCGTTTTAGAGACACCACTAATTTGAAACACAACTCGAAACACAGTTTCCAAACCTAATCTGTTTGGTGCTTAGATGTTTATCCACACCGCAGATTCCACACCAAGGGTACCCTCGGGTGTCATCAAACATGACTGAAAGCTCCATTGTTTACGTGGGTTCGTGGACATTAAAAAAGGGTCTCCTCATCTAAAGAGATACATGGATGTGATACTATCCCTAATATTTCATATATTCATATATAATTTTCACATATATTCCATTTCCATTACAGAAAAAAGCTCCATATATGGAATATTTACCAACATTTGCCCGAACAAAATCACCCCCAAATGTAGGTCAATATACCAGCACCATGGAGCATATGGGTGATAGCCCCATCTTTCACCCATACTTCTGATGACATCCGAAACAACCGCGGCTTCAGAACTGCGCCGAGGCAGTATGGATACGTGCAGCAGGGTGTAGGTCCGTAAGCCCAGAAAAAAAAAGATGATGGTCTATAATCTGTATATGTAGTGCATACACACATGTGATTATGGATTTATATAACTCTACATATATATATATATACACATATATATATATTATAAACATGCACGTATTTAGATACAGTAATTTCTGGTGAAATGAATCTCGTTTGTGGTTAAAACATCCTGCAGATTACTGGCTCAGCCACCCAGAAGACCAATCCCTGATCTGTTTGGTTTTCCATCACATATTCCAGCGTTGATGGTTTAACCTCCATTATTGATGCTTACCCTCTGGTAAATAAACATAGACCCTGAAAATAATATATTTTTTAATGGAAACTAATCTTCCAACCCCTATCTGGCAGGGTCTATGCTAATTTACTGGAGGGTAAATTCCAATGAAATCCATGGTGTACTCCTTACCCTGGAAAATCATCTCCATGGCTGGAAAATCCTGGAACTGATTGCCGGAGGGTAGTTTTGGAGACTGAGAAACACAGATGTCACCATGGCTGGTGGTTGCGAGGGAGCGGTTCGGAGCGTATCCATCATCCCTAAGTATTTTTCATAGCTACGAATAGAGTTCCCAATAATCCCATGATAGTTTCAGACAAAAACGACACATTTTTCATGGGTCATTAAATGTCCCCATTGAACATCACCCACCCATTAGGTATATGGTCTATAATGGCTACTATAAGGTGATGTCCAATATACCCAAAATGGGACAGTTACCAACCCCTGTTTTTTGTTTTTTTTTTGGAGATGGCTTCCATGGCAACAAGCGGCTTGCAATCCATGGGGGTCTTGGGACCACCCGGGCTTGGGATGATACTCCAGGCCGGTAACCACAGGTAACCCAGTTAGCTGTACCTGGAATATCATGGAATATAGCTATCTGGTTGGTGGTGACTGGAACCATGGAATTTTGAATGACTTTCCAGAAACAGTTGGGAATGTCATCATCCCAACTGACTTTCACTCACTCCATCATTTTTCAGAGGGGTAGGTTGAAACCACCAAGCAGCTATGATTCATATGGGTTGTATGGCTTGTGGTTCAATGTCAATGACTCATAGTGCTCACGGTGAGACCCCCAAGGTGTTGTTTCTGGGAGAGTCCCATTTTCGGAAATCCTCGGCTTCGAAGTTTGGAGGTTACCTAAGTCTTTTTGGGCTACCCCAATACAATGTGAGGCCCCCAAGATGGCTAAGTTGGTTCAAACAACTCCAATAACTATGGTTTATGGTATACAAATAACTATAATTACTGGGCTTATAAACCAACTTATAACTGGGGGGCACCACTTTGTAGCTGGATGGTTTATGAGGGAACATCCCATCTACAAATGGATGATGACTGGGGGTATGCCCATTTATGGAAACTTTCTAGCTGGGAAAATCATCGAACTATAGTTTAATATAGTAACTGGATTTCCCAAGCACGTTCAATGACGCCGGAGGGTAGCTATTCCAATCATGGATTGGACTGAGTAATCAACATAAATTAACCACTTAAAGCCACCACACATATGTTATAATTCAATGGTACTAACCAGTATCGCTGAATGGAGCTTTTTCCCCCAAATCATCCTCTCTTTTTTTTGGTGGTGACTGGAACCATGGAATTTTGAATGACTTTCCAGAAACAGTTGGGGATGGAATGTCATCATCCCAACTGACGAACTCACTAACTCCATCATTTTTCAGAGGGGTGGGTATACCAATCACCAACCAGTCCTCAGGTATTAGACCATTTTAGATATTGAAATCCATGGGGATCCTTTGGGGATCTCAAGAAAGCCTCAGGGATGGCTACTATGGCTGCTTCCGATCCCATGGCCGCCTACTATGCACGGAACCCGATCCCATGGCCGAGTTTGTTTAAGAACAACCAGCCTGGCTGTGGAAGTTGGAAGGCTACATCCCCAATGAATGGAAGGCTACGCCGAAAATCAACCATCTGGACCATCCGTATTTTTTTTGATGGTTTATACCACCCATTTATGGTAAACTTGGGGATGGTATACGAGTGCTTTACTAGCATTACGGCATACTGTAGCCATTAAAAATGGGAAGCTGATGATTAACCGGGTTTAGGGGTGCACTATTTTCAGACAAACCCAATGGGTAGGTTTCCCCGGCAAACATTCAGGTTAGAACCCCCCTTACCATGGGGATTTTGACCATCAGGGTAAACCAGATTTTCGGGGTAGGTGAATGGGGAAATCCCTTCCCTGTAATATTAAACACCCCCTAAACGAAACCATGGTTTTTTGTTGGGAATTTCCACATAATGACCATGTATGGGGTGTTCAATATTAGGCTGATGGGATTATTCTTTGATTGGAACGTGCTAGTCAGATGTTTTTAGCAGAGATGTTTTTATGTTTGGTGAAGTCACTTGCCCCTTCATGCGGCCTTGATGTGGCCACGGCCCAAGTTGGTGAAGATTTTAGTGGAAACACTATGGTTTTAGGTTGCTTTATTTCACTGATACATTAAGAATATGATAGACTATAGGTTTACTCACCATATATCCTTCAACCATCCGATGTTGCGGTATCCAATCTTACCCATTCACACAATTAAAAAATCATGCAGCCTTTCACAAAGACTCTCAGACCTTTGTTTTTGGGCAATGGCTGTACACCCTTATTTTTGTTGGATGCATAGGGTTTCTTTCTCTTGACACATGATACTGTTGATGGAAGAAATCCTGCACCACCTTGGATGGTTGAAACCCTATAAATAATGGGATAAACCACCTATCAACTGGTGTAGGATTTCTTCCATCCACAGTAGGACTTCGAGGAATCGAAATTTTAGGACCACGATGTCCGACAGTCACCGACAGTCCGACTTTCTGATGGGTGAAATCCTGGTGATTTTTATGGCTTCCCCAGACTTGACGCGCAAGCTGTTCCAATTTAGGATATATATATATAATAATAGCATATAATAGCTGTATATATATATAGTATATATATATTACATGCTTTATGTATAGTAAGTAACCCCGAAAAAGATGCACAAAGTACAGTTTATCACGTATCACTCGTTTTTATCACTAGGATTTTACCTATTCATCGCTTTTCTATCTTTTGGGGGCACCGAAATTGTGGAATTCACCGGGTATTTGTTCACCTTTTTTTTTCCTGGGTACAAACGGAGGTTTAGGCACTATATAAATGAAGGATAATGAAGGAATAAAGCCATATTCATCCATATTCTATTATAATAGCAAGGGAAAGTAGAATCGTGATGAAATTGCCCTGAGGCTGCTGGGGTGCGGGTTGCCCAGTGCCCAGAATCGAGCTGATTGGCCGACCAACCTCCATGAACATTAGATCCATTAGATATTACTAGTAAGGAAAGCGTTCCCCAAAAAAGTGGATGAGTAAATGAATCAGTTTTGCGAAATATGATCATGCTCCTACGTATATTTAAAGCTTGATTTCCGGGCGGTATACAAAAGAATCAGATCTTTGCATACCGGTCTGCAATATCTTTGTTCCAAACCATTACATTTTGATATCAACAGACTTGATATCAACATATATCAACAGTATATTACTCAACATATATCAACAGTATATTACATGTTGATTTCACTGGGATTTCTTCAGGGCCATAGAACTGGAGCACTCTGGAGTATTCACCCCCACGAGTCGATTTGCAAAGGCTGAAAGGCTGAAAGTTCCACGATCTGAAGACATGTTCTTCACAATATTGAAGCACTGCTTGGTGGTTTCAAACATTTTTTATGTTCTAAGAAGTTCTATTTATATGGGTTTGTCTGAAAATAGGGTATATTCCCAAACAAATAGCCATTTAATAGGGATTATGTAATGATCATTAACCATTGGGTTTAGGGGTACACTATTTTCAGACACACCCATATGGGAAAATCCTTTCCATTGACGAACTCATATTTTTCGAGATGGTTATTGCACCACCAAGCAGATCTTGAAGACCAATGACATCATGCCGCGACGTCACTGGAATGATGAATCCCGTTCCCCCTAACTAAACCTTGGTTTTTTGTTGGGGATTTCCACATTGGGACATATATAGGGCCCAATAAATGGGGGGTATTTGATATTATAGTAAAATTTATCCAATCCCTCTAATATGACATAATTATCACTACTATTAAAATATATTAGAATATCTATGGGATATTTAACATCTCAGATATATACCCGCATCCAGATGGAGATTCTTTCACTCAGGGCCCTGCCCTGCTACGTCTGCTACGGTGCCGCAAGGTGGCACAACCCTCTGCCGCTTATGGCATGCAGGGCGTTCCCTCGGGCATGCAGATGCAGCAGATGCAGCAAACCATGCAACAGGTCCCCGGTTTCATGGGAAGATTAGCCAGCTGGAACAGCTGCTAAACAGCTGCTAAACCCCAGGTGCTTCATGATTGTAAGGGTTAATTTAATATGGAGGTTTCCTGAGTTTTGACTGGGTACCCCTAAATCATCCATTTTAACAGGATTTTTCCGTTAGAAACCATGCATTTTGGCGTACCTCCATTTGTGGAATCCCTTTCTCAACTCCCATCCCGAACAGGTCGCTGATCAATGTCTGAAATTTTGTTGGTGCCCGAATAAGAACACCATTCTTCCCATGTGAATATGTGAATAAATGACAACAACTTGCAGGGTTAGCCGCCCAGTTGTGGACAACTCCCATGTGGTTTTTATCATTTATCCATATATATCCCACGAAAGATCCACACATTCCATCTCGTTTTGTTTTGGTGCATTCCTTGAAACCATTAGTTGGGATAGTTGGGACCCATCGTTGATCGGCAAAATGGTGATGAACTGATGAACCATGATCAACCGCTGGAGTTTAGGCGAGTTTGCCCCTAAATTCTCAGAGAATGGAGTTGTTTGTTTTTCCGCAGTTTCACATCACTATGTTTCACATCACTATCATCAACTAAAAATAGATAAAAATCGACTTTTTTTTTATCACGTATAAATACGACTTTTTACGGCTACATCGACTCACAAAATGACCATTGCCAGCAGGCCAAACGGGGTGTTTCACCTGCCAGGGCTGCCAGGGTCCCGGAGACGGAAAGCACTACGGCACGGTGAAAGTGGTGAATGCCGAGAAAGGCGGAGATTCTGGAGAACTGGGTACCACCCAAAGGATTTTTGACACACATTTCATATACTGTAATTTCATATAATATCATATAATATCATCCTATCCCCCAAAGGAAATTCAAAGATACTACTGCTGCTGCTACTACTACTACTAATAATAATCATAACATTATGGAAAATCACAAGTTTTGATGGGTAAATCAACGAACTTTCTATGGCCATTGGGCCATTGTCAACAGCAAACTGTTCAATGATCAGAGGGACGATTGGAGCCTTTTTGCGTAGCGGTGGCGGGGACACGATGGCTATGATTTCAACTTCCATAGTGTGGCAAAGGCAAAAAAAGGATTGTTTTTTTCCAAAACCATCTCCAAACTCAGATACCCTCCGGTAAACTAACATAACTGTGGAAAATCACCATTTTTTAATGGGTAAATCCACTATAAATGGTCATTTTCAATAGCTATATGTTAAATTACCAGAGGGTAAACTCACCAATTTATGGCTGGTTTTTCCATGTTTTACCATCCCGAGTCATGGCAGCAGCTGACCTCAGGTTTTGGCTTCATCAGCTGCGCGACCTTACAGGTGCGATGGACATTTCAAGGACATGATAATTTAAGTCGGCAAAATTGGTGAGACAACAAAGAACAATGATGAGTCAATGAGGAGATAGGACCCAAAAAAAGGCAACACTATCGTGATGTTTTAGTGGATTTATATGGTCTTATAAGCACAAAATGGTGATTTAACTGGGGATCTGGATATAGTGGGATATGAACCGAAAATTATGAGGATATTGCCACCAACATGCCAAAAAATGTGGTGTCAATTTAATTCATGAGCAAAGATGGCTGAACTTTCACTAGGTTAACGATTGGATGTATGGTAGAGAATAAATACTGGTTGGTGGTTTGGATCATTTTTTATTTTTCCATATATTGGGAGCAATGATCCCCATTGACTTTCATATTTTTCAGAGGGGTAGGTATACCACCAACCAGTATATATATCTAACCAGTTATTGGGTTCATAAACCAACAACACATAACTGGGTAACAGCAGCTGGTATTAGATTCTCTTCACCGGCAATTTTTTGTTTTTTTCAGACATGTCAGTGCCGTGGCATCCAAGAAATGGTGGAAAACTCGGAATTGAACATGGCCCAGTCGAAAGTTCGTGGATTTACCCATTAAAATAGCATGGTGGGTGATTTTCCAGTTCGCTTTTTGTATGTTTACCAGGCCGGGTAAATGATATAGCATAAAGCCTCCTTAAAACTGTTGGTTGGTTTATGGCATTGGGATGGCCACCACTAAACCACTAATCGGCGGCATGGGGGTAAGATTGGGTGTTTACCAACTCACAGGAAATTCTATTGGAAGTGACCAAAGGGTTGTTGAATTCAGCAATCCAGAATAGTGATATGGGTATGTCTGAAAATGGGGTATACCCCCAATTATAGCCATTTAGTAGGGATAATGGGACATTGATCATTAACCATTGGGTGTAGGGGTACACTATTTTCAGACAAACCCATATTATCCAGAATAGTGGGGTTATCTACTGCTGATTCTGATTACTATCTACTGAATTATGAATAGAATCCAGAATCATTCAGCAAGCAGCTCCCACCAGTCAAGGGCTCTCACTTGTGGTGGCAGCAACATTAGCATAGTGGCATAGTGCTCGGTCCAAGATTGTTTTAGAATTCCCAACACGTTTTACCCTCTGGTAATTTAACATAACTATTGAAATGGTCATTTGTAGTTGATTTACCCAACAAACATCGTGATTTTCCATATAGTTTTTTGTATGTTTACCAGAGAGTATATCGAGTTTCCATCAGATCCCCACTGGTATTTTAGTCATGAAGCTGTTGAAGTTCAACCCCCGGTTTTTCTCTAGCCATGTGAGAATTTACCGTCGATGTTGATCCATGTCTGTATGACCAAACAGAACACAAGTGAACTCCGAGTTGGACCGAACATTTCTTCGCATTCCTGGGCCAGTTTGAAACTGGCCACGTTGGCCATGTTAGATTCTATTTTATGGTTGGTTCTTATTGGTTCTACATCCCAAACATATTCCCATTATAGATAGGGGGCACAAAAACTCAGATGAATTATAGATGATATGCAGATTGTTGGTTAGATATCCCCATAAAAATACCATAAACTGTAGCAATTCAAATCCACTATTGACTGGGGGCACCACATTGTAGTTATAGTGGTGGCTATATTCCGATTCTATCCTCATTCTCGGTTGGTTAAATCCCATGTTTCATTGCCATATATTAGATTGCTGATAAAAAAGGAGGCTAGTTGCTAACTTAAAGTTATAGATGATTTTCCCATTACAATCTCCATTTATGTTTGGTTTTGGTGGTTTACTTCAACTACATTGAAGTGGAGAAATCATGTTTTTTAAAAATGGTGAAGCCATTGGGTTAGAATCCTGGTACCGTATCCCCATAATATCACCAGTATATATACTTCTGGGTGAATTATAACGATTTCAGTAGGATTTCGGTAGGATTTCAGTATGGTTAGTCCATATCTATTTTTTTGGGGGGTGAACTACCCTCTGGATCCCTCTGGTAATGACTAATATAGCTATTGAACCTGGCCATAGAAAGTTCGTTGATTTACCCATTAAAAATGATGATTTTCCATGGCAAAATGTTAGTTTACCAGAGGGTACTATATACTTCTGGGTGAATTATGTTGCGACCTCACTGTGCGAACCCTGGAATCATGATTTAGATATAGGGAAATCATTCCCCTTTTATGGCCGAACTATTCAGGTTAGTGAATTATGATAATTTACCCAGGTACTTGGTGGTTCATTTTCATCATTCCAGTTGGTAAAAGCCTTGCAACCTTGCAACCCCAGATTTAATTGAATAGACGAACCATACAAGAAGCCTACTACTACTGGGTGTTTTTGACCCAGTGGGATGAGCCACCAAGTATTTGACCATGGCATCATGGCACCATGGCACATCACCATTGTTGATCATGAAATCCCATGAAAATCACCAAGGTTTTTCTAGTTACCCAACCTGGTTATGACTAACACTTCGCCATGGTTAAGACGGTTAAGCCATGGCCCTAATCGAAATAGATGGTTTACCGAGCTTTAAAATGGTGATTTTCCATGGCAAACTGTTAGTCATAACCAGATGGTAAATCCCAGTGAATCCCCAGTGGCCCAGTCGGATGTGTTCTTCCTACGTGCTGAGCTGCTTCCAGAACTGCAAGCCGAGGACGAGACCTCACGTCCTGGTGAACATTTCATGGGACTTGTTTTTGAATATGCTGATATATTTTAAGGGGTAAGCCATCATAATTCATCTATAAATCATCTAAAAATCATCTTTAAATCATCTATAGATCACAATGTTTAATGGGGAAATCTGATGATCATAAATCATCTATTTCTAGGGGCTATGGCTTCCATAGCTACGTTAAATATCCAGAGGGTATATGGGTTTTCAACACCATGGTCGTTTGGATACAGAGATATGGGACCACAATGTGGCCCCCTAGTTATAAGTTGGTTTATCACCCAATCTAACTATGGAATACCATAGAATTGTTCCCCATAAACCCAAACTAACTAGTGTAGTTATGTTCACCAACGTTAGCTATCACAAATCAGCTATAAATCCCATTCATCACGATTTTTCTTGGTTAAAATCACCATTTTCCCATGATTTTACCATGATTTTCCCATGGTTTTCCCATGTTTGCAGGAGCGTAACTTCATCGGAAAACCGGTGGTCTTTGAGCTGCAGACGGGGAAAGATGGCCGACCGCGGGTTTCTTGGCAACTGAGCGCGTTCCGGCTGCGAAAGACGTGCTGTTTTAGCGATTGAAGATGTTTGCAAGTATGAAGTTTTAGAATATCTACATGTATGAGACTGACATAATGATCTATTTTATGTTCATATATATATATACAATACAATACTATTATATATATATTATATTACATGTATATATATATATATCTCTATATATATATATTAATATATATTCATATATGTATATAATATATTATTTATTGAATTAGAATGCACCATCTGTATCGAAGCATATCTCTTTGTCGTGTTCATCCCATTGGGATGAAAGATTGCAGACTCCAAGTCAGCGTGGTTCCACGGCTGTGGGAAGTGGTTGGTAAACATACAAAAACATGTGGAAAACATGTGGAGCATCTACTTTATGCAGGTTGTTTTTCCAGATTTTTGAAGCATGTAACTGTTTTGTTCGGAAATCCAATCTACTTGTATGGATGGTGTTCCACATCTTTTTTGGTATGTTTACAGAAGGGTAACTGGTTGGTGCTTTGAATTCGTTCTAAATGCATTAATCAATCCTAATTGAGAATATGAATGATTGTCATTTCCAATGAAGGCACTCTATTTAGGGGGCATCACCAACAGGCTGGATTCGCTCAACAATTGTTCTCTGGTAAAGATGAACTATGATGTCCCTTCAAATGGGTTTGTTTGAACCTGAGGTCCCCCAAAAAATTGATGATGAATCACTACTTTTCCTACAATGGTCATGGGCATATTTCATTTTCAGGTACCCAAATGAATCATATCCCATTGCATCCATAAAATCCATATTAAATACCATTCAATCCCGAAACCACCTTTAGATCCCTATTAAATCCACATTAAATCACCATGAAACACCCATTCAAACGCCAGCAAAGTAGGCGAACAACGTCCGAAGCTGTGCCATGGAGGTGGCTTGCTTTTTATCAAAGCCGGAAGTTGAAGTGGTTGGGTACCACCATGACTTTGGACAGCTCCATAATATATATCCTCTGGTTATGTCAAAATAGCTATGGAAAATCACCATGCTATTAATGGGAAAATCCACGAACTTTCTATGGCCATTTTCAAGAGCTATGTTAGTTTACCAGAGGGTATATATATATTTTTTTTCCCCTAGAATGATATGTATATATATATATAGAATTGATTCTGGGTACACACAAAAAAACTCAGGAAACCACCGTATATTGTATATATTATAACCCTCTGGTTATTTAACAGTTTGCTAAGGAAGCCATGGTGCTTAGAAATAGATGATAAAAATGATGATTTCCCTATTGAACATAGCTATACATATTCCATAACTATGTAATACCCAAAGGGTACCGAACACATACTGTGGGTGGAAGAAATCCTGCACCACCTTGGATGGTTGAAACCCTATAGATAATGGAATAAACCACCTATCAACTGGTACAGGATTTCTTCAATCCACAGTAGATTTCGGCATATTTGTCTATGACATATGATGAACACTCTATCAGAATATACTGTATATGGAATTATACAAACATAGGAAAACATATTCAGAATATATATATGGTTCCATATAAACTTTATATAATTTTTATATAAACTTATATATATATATATTTTTCTATATAAACTTTACAAAAAGACGTGGACAATTCCCGTTTCCAAGCAGGTGGATCCATTGATTTAACCACCAGATGGGCTTTCGACGATGGTTGGGGCTTCCTGCTGTTCCCTTTTTAAATTTCAAACCTAGGTTCATGATAGGTTCCATATGGATCCATATGGTTACATGGTCAAAAAAAATTAGTTAGGTTTATGAAATGATATGAAATTCAGGGGCTTGAAGATCTTGAACTCAAAGCTGACTTTTTACGAGAAACTCTGGGATTCTGGACACGACTTCAGCCATGGACCATGTGTGATCACCAGCGCCCTGCAAGATGATCGACTCGACTTACGGTTTCTGATGGGAAGTTTGCTGCATAAGAAAGAGATGTAAAACATATGAGCAATGAACATCGGGATGAATATTTCTGTTTTTTTTTCTACCGATTTTTCAAAACCAATTTCAATAGGTTTCTATATTGAAGATGAAGAGCATTTTTCAGACCAATCCTTGCATCCGCATGAACAATCATAAAATTAATAAACCAGCCCATTTTTGATGGTTTATACCACCCATTTGTTTTCTTGATTTTGGGGATGGTAAACATGGCATTGGTTTCACCGTTGATGGGTTCAGTGGGGGTTATACCCGGCCTGGTAAACCTAGAAAAAGCTATTGAAGCCATGGCCATTGAAAGTTCGTGGATTTTCCCAGCTACAAAATGGGTGGATCTTTCCATAGCTATGTTAAATGACCAGAGGGTAAATAAATTGCTTTATGATTCATAAAGCCAGAAGAGGAATTTCATAATTAGCTATCTACGAATCCGTTTTTCAGGGGATGGGATAAGGGTGATTGTTGATTAGAGCCGGATCTTTTTTTGCAGCGGTGTTCACCAGCGGAATCAACTTAAAAAGGGCTTTTAAAAGGGCCAAAGCTTTGGAGATGCAATGAGTAGAGTGTGATTCGTCCTCAGTAAATCATTTTCTTCTACTCTACCTTTCACAAACAGGCAAAGGTTTGTCTTCATGATGAAGGGTTGCTCATCTCATTATGGTTGGGATAGTACGGTACCTGAAACAATGATTGCTGGGGAACTGAGCGTTCCACCCTCATGAAAGGGCGTGTCTTTCTGAAAACTCATGTTTTCCTCATTTTCCTCCACCTTTCTAAGTGTACCCCAGTGAAATCGAACGTGGAACCCCAATTCATATATCAATATATACAGTGTATTATATGCAAGCTTCCACCTTGGATTTCCACGGAAACATGGGGTCACCGGTGACTGAATTTCCCCACCGCTGTCCCGTTCATCGTGCAGTTGGTGCACCAAGCAATGCAAAGAAGCCAGGCGGCATCGCGGCATCATCCCTTTGGCTACAGGGGATGGAAAAACCAGCCATTAAAATGGAGATTGTTTTGGGACGGTTTATTAACCAGATGCTCCATGGTGCTGGAATATGCACACCAACATTTGCCCGAACAAAATCACCCAGTTTTGTAGGTAAATATACCAGCACCATGGAGCATCTGGGTTATTGGGTAAATTGACAAAAAAACACACATATATATATAGTAGACCACTGTGCTGACCAAATTTCCAACTTGTCTTGTTTTGAGTTACTTTGATGCCAAGTGATCCTTGACTGTATTCTCTGTGTGCGTGTGGAAATAGATACTTGGGTAATTGCATGTCATTGCGATTCAACAGTTTGGCATATAGATGCATATATATAATATGCATATATAAATATATATATATAATATGTGTATATATATGTATATATTATATACATATTATATGTGCATTGATAAATGCATGTGTTCTTTTTGTTACATCTACTGCCATGTATGATATGTGCAACAATGTACGGACAAACTACTGTATGCATAATACTCTGATATGCTTGGCAGCCACAGACATACTGCAATCAGGAACACCTTGTATAATCTATCAGATTCCATCAACCCACACATGATCTTAGATGTTACATGTACATGTGCTTGTGAAGCGAGATAAGATGCGTCTGTCATGTTGCAGGGTTCGATCATCGAAGGGACAATCAAATCCTACAATGACCGGCATGGCTATGGGTCCGGGTGCCACAGATTGACGGATCTGGATAGGTCTGGTGTCACGGTTGTCAATCTACTCGGTATGATTATTTGAATCTATAGAGATGATTGGAGATTAATATATGTAAACACCCATTCATATGTAATTGTAATTAATTATATATACATACATGTAGATATATATATATATAACTGGAAATAAAGGTTTTTATCAGTGAACTGTTTGTATCCCGTTTATCTGCATCGATCTTTGCATCCCTTTCAACAAAGTGATGTGTTTGCCCTGGTGGAAATAATGGATTATAACGGTATAGACCGCCGACTGATGAAGGATTTCTTCCACAGTATGGAAGAAGCATATGATTTCATATAAAACGATCCCAGTTATATATATATATAAGTATATACATTAAATATACATGATATATATATATATATACATTAGATATGTATTTGGATGTATGTGGGATATCCCCAGTTCTGAACATGGCACTCCGTTGCTGCGTAACGCTGCGTAACGCTGTCAGCCGACTCCGAGGTTCATCAGTTCCCAGCAGCTGCAACGGGACGCACAGTTCAAGACAGCGGAGCTCACCATGGATTTGCAGGTGACCTCCCAGGGACAGGAAATGGAGGTTGAGGTGGCTGGAAATGGAGGTTTACCATCTGGTAAAACATACAAAAAACTATTGAAAATGGCCATTTATAGTGGATTTACCCATTGAAAATGGTGATTTCCCATAGCTATGTTAGTTTACCAGACGGTACCATCTGGTTATTAATGGTGATTTTTCATGGGATTTTAATGGTGATTTTTCATGGGATTTTAATTTAGGATATACTGGCGAAAAAAGTGATTGGGTGTCTTTATTTACCCGGCCTGGTAAACTGGTGATTTAATGGGATTTCATGGGATTTCATGGTGATTTAGTGGGATCTAATGGTGATTAATGGAGGTTTACCATCTGGTTATGACTAACAGTTCGCCATGGAAAGATCCACCGTTTTTAAGTTCGGTAAACCATCTATTTCTATTCAAAAGATGACTACCCTCTGGTAAAACATACAAACAACTATTGAAAATGGCCATTTATAGTGAGTTTTCCCATTAAAAGTGGTGATTTTCCATAGTTATGTAAACGTTTGCCAGAGGCTTAAATGGAGGTTGAGTTTGCTTGGAAAATGATTAAATCATCAAAGTACATGATTTAAATGGTGAAATTCCAGATTCAAACGGGATTCCGAGATGAAACACTGAGACTATTCCATGGGATAGCGGGATTGTGCCCATGTACCAAGTGGTGCAGGATTTCTGTAGAGTATCAGGTCACTAACAGTTCTTGGGGGACCATCCCACGGATCGTAACATAGATAGCCTGGAAATCCACATTAGCTATGGAGGTTTATAGCTGGAGGTTTAGAATCTACTCCTTGGTGCTTTGGAACCATGGAATTTTATGACATTTTATGACTTTCCATTCAGAAAAGGGAATGTCATAATCCCAAGTGAAGTCATATGTTTCAGAGGGCTAGAAATAAACCACCAACCATATATATATATAATGTTATAATCCCATCATATAACCACATATAACCACTATTATTCGTATTATAACCACTTTTATTATATCATCCCAAATTATTGTGGATGATATCAGCAGGATCATCCCGAAGGTTGATCAGTAGGGATACCGGTTGCAAAAGCTTACCCTCTTTGATATGCAAGCGGTGCGTCCTTGTTGGTGGTCTTGGTGAAGCCTGGTAGTGAACAACTACCAGGGGGTTTTTGGAGATGCCCCAGTCGAGCTAGCCAAGATTTACAGCCCAAAAAGACTCAAAAAGATAGAAACGTATATGGTATAGATGATGTTTTCTCTATATTTTGAAGCTTTCCGTACCTTTGAGGCATTTTTTTGGGTTGCTGTACCCACTGACAAGCTGGTTGCTGCACGATGGGGATTCAACTGCAAATGAACAAAAATCCTAAGCACATGGGAGTTGAAGCAAAAACTATGGGAAATTATGGACGGAACAGCAAGGAAAAAGAGATACATTAATCGGAAAAAAATGATGATTACGAATAGTTGGATAAAGTTATTTGGTATCCATAAATAATTTAATATCCATATCCATAAATGATTATCCGATAACTTAGTATATAATATAGTTATTTGGTATCCATCATGGTTATTTATCGGTTGAGTAGGTCCACCTAGCAAAATCTCTAAACCAATTTGCCACATTCGAGAACGATGCCATTTGTTCCTGTCCCCTTTCAGAATCTGTGGTTGTTGTTGTTGTTGTTCTTCTTCTTCTTCTTCTCGTTGTTGTTGTTGTTGTTGTTGTTCTTGTCCTTCAACACCCACTAAAGTAGTAATCCCGATTTTGATGAGATACATCCAAGTTACTGTCAACGGGGATTGATTATGAATGGATTGTTTAACAGTTGATGATGCAAGATGCATTGATGTTTTCTCTGTATCTAGATATGAAATGTTCTAATAAACATTTACCCCAAGTACAAATACACACCGATACCCGAATGCATTATCATTTGCCCAATTTAGTACTGTTTATATTTTACCTTGTATCCTAGAATAGATGATTTATGGATGTTTACCCCCCCAAACAGGTAATAATAGGTGTATTTACCAATGTCCAAATATGTATGTATATATATATATATACACACTGTAGATGTATACTCTAGATATTTACCCAAATCTGTTGGTCATATTATTCTATATTACTAGCCACATAAATCCATATCATATATTGGTAATCATAGTTGGTCATAAGAAATATTAATCATAATCAAATCCATATGAATTGATCTTAATTCCATATCATATTGATTATTTACCCAAATCCGTCATATTATTCTACATTAATAGCCATATAATGGTACTGTAATAATCTGTAACATATATATATATATTTTTTTTCCCACCTCATATATTGGTAATTAACTGTACTGTACAAGATATGATATTACCAGTATATGATTAATTGTAATACTGTACATATATTATTACCAATTAACAGTACAATATTTATACCTGGTTGGTGGTTTGGAACATGAATTTTATTTTTCCATTCAGTTGGGAAGAATAATCCCAACTGACGAACTCATATTTTTCAGAGGGGTAGGTATACCACCAACCAGCAGTAATACTAGTGCTACCCTCTGGTAATGTGGTAATTTCAGAGTTTGGTGGAAAATCATCGAACTAAATGGGTCATCTAAACCATAGCAAACTGTGAATGTTTACTGAAGGGTAAATCCCATTTAGAATGTACCCCGTGGTAAATTAACAATTCGACCCTGACTGAAAATGACCAATTTATAGTGGAAACTAGTCTTCCAACCCCGATGACTGGCAGGGTCGTCATGTTAATTTACTGGAGGGTAAATTCCAATGAAATCCATGCTATACTCCTTATTGCCCTGGAAAATCATATATATATATATTTATATTGCTGTACTCCTTAGAATGTTATATATATATACATATATTTACCCATTGGCGGTCATCTCTTTGCGTCAGACCATGGGGCCTTCGCTGGTTGGTCGAGCAGTGGATTGTCAGGCTGACGGTTTTCCGGTTTTTTCGGAGAATGGCTAAGGTCTTTTTATGGTACCATACAGGATGGGGCCCCCCAGTTATAAGTTGGTTTATGAACCATTATAGTCCCAATTAACGATAGTTATATCATGTTATATCTACCATAAACCATAGAATTCAGCCACTTTTAGGCAACTGGACGCTATCTTGGGGCCCCCATCCTGTATGGTTTGCCCAGAAACCTCATCTACACATAGTGGGTTGAAATCACATCTTCATGAAGAAACTCGAAAACATGATGATTTCACCAGTAGGAATGAGGATTTCGCATGAGAGTCAGGTGATAAAAAAGCATCAACAATGGTGGAAAAATAGAGATTTAAGCAACAGTAATGGGATAACATGGGGATATGACCATCAAAACAAAAAGTGGTTATAAGTAGTTATAAGTTATAACATGTTGTAACCAACAATAACGATAACAAGTGATAGACCATGATAAAACCATCAACATTTATTGATGAGACATGCAGATTCAAGCAACATGGTGTAGCGGGGAATGGGATACATCTGGATATTCTGATTGCATCAAGATGAGGATTAGTCATCCAGAGATTTATCAGTTACTTTGTGTCGAACAGGCTATGATATATCAATATATATATATCATTTACCTATATTACCTATATATATATATATCATATATATATATATATCATATGTATATGGTGTATATATATATATGTATGATATATCCAGAGATTTTATGGCAATTTTCAGGGGACATGTGGAACGACGTGTACGACTGTGGCAGTTTCCGGCTCCCGGCCGATTTTCCACGGCCTCACCGAACGGGGATCGAAGCATATTTCTGGGCATGAACTGCATATATATATATATATATATATCTGCAGATATATACATATACTGTATATACATATAAACACACATATATATATATATGTATATATATATATATTTATATGTATATATATACATATAAATACACTATATTTGATATATTTCCACACGCACACCTACGATACTGATATGACGAAATATATTTGGTCTCTGTTGATGCACGAATAACATGATGACATAGGTTGGCTATGGCAACCCAAAAGGGGGCACCCATTGATGCACGATAAACGCTTGTCTTTTTTTGTGTCTGAAACCATTTCGAAATGGAGTTCCACAATTTAGAACCACACCCACTACTGTATTGATACACTGTACATGTGTGGGCATTCAGTTCTTCATGTGAATATGTATATATATATATCTATTGAATTATTACACAATTACACATATAATGCTACAAACAAAGACCTCGGAATATTTTTGCTTCGGTAGCCGACTGAACATATGAATTTTATAAAACTCAAGTGGATTTTGACCCTGGTTGCAAGCTGGTTGTAAACAAACACATAAACAAACACATAGATAGATAGATAGATAGATAGACAGATAGATAGATAGATAGACAGACAGATAGATCGAGTACCCCTAAAAAATAGAAACGTTGGATGCCTGGAAATTATAGGAAATACCATCGTCTAAGAGTCACCATCCCTGTTTTGTTGGGGTGTCACCATAGAAATATATGTTTTGACCCAGGGGTTTCATAATTTAATGCAACAAACCATAGGGGTCGGACCAACAATTCTGGCAGCAGAATATGGGTAAGTGAAGGCGCATAGTTGGTTACTGGGTCATTGTGTAGCAATCAGTTGGTGAATCTCACGAATATATCAAGTTTCACCAAACCCATGCCCTTGTCTCAATTTATGGTGCACACTTCAATTTATGGCAGACTTGATACATAAACATACTTTTCTAGACCATGGGATGGTGGTTGGGGTTCATGTGTTTCTCAGAGAACCCAATATCCACTGAAGAATATCAGGTTAGTCAGCAATCTGCTGATTGAAAGTGGAGGACGTAACGAAATAATGTACCAAACAGGTGATTTGGGCAACACAGTAATGATCCGAACAGCAAAACCCAGCCAAAGAGAGTGACATTATACATGCTCCATATGGGAGTTTCAGATGAAACAAGCACATGATAATCAATGATAATCATGATAGGGCAATTCTTGAAGTGGTAAAGCAGCCACCTACTATGGCTGAGACAATGAGGCTGCGTTCCAGACATTCTTGCTCTTTGTTGATCAACGTCTTTCTTCTTGGTTCACATAGCCCTGTCTTTCGATTGTTTGACTTTGAGGTTCGCATCCCAATGTTGGCCGAATCGCCATCCTTTTGCTTCTGAAACCCCTGTTCGTTAGTTATATCATGTTACATCCGGTCCAGTTGCCACTTTTTTGATTACCTTCTGGTAATCAAACTTGGCAGGCTGGAAAATAAAGGTTTGAATGGGACATTTTTCTATGAATGGAGGATTTCCAATTGCTATGTTTGATTACCGGAAGGTATATAGATCTCGTCTGTTGCTGCTACCGATAGTTACGTCAGTTACTGCAAAGCATTCAATCCTTGATTGCTGTCAGTCCATTCCTTCATTTTAAACAGGGATCTCATTCAATCTTTCATTGCAGTGATATCTGCAATCCTCTATTTGGGTGTGTCTGAAAATGAGGTATACCGGTATAATTATACCCACCCCCCAAAAATGATGATTAATCAATGGACTTAGGGGTACCCGGAACCCAATTTTCAGAGAAATCCCATTTCTTGCTTGGTTCATTGAGCTGCGGCCGAAGGTGCAAGCTCTGCCTGACGGCAAGCTGAAGGCGGCTGGAACTGGTATTTTCCTAGACCTGGGAGGAAATACCCTCTGGTAATTTAACATAGCTATGGAATATCACAATTTTTAATAGGTAAATCGACGACGCATGATTATCAATGGCCATGTTCTATAGCTATGTTAAATTACAAGATGCTAAATCCATTTGGGGATATTCTATTGGATAGAAACAAAATGACTAGGGGATTTCTACCCCCCAAGGGTTGGTAGAACAAATTTTTATCTTCGGGGATTGTGCATCATCCATTGGTTTTGGGATGATCATCATCCCGTTGGTGTGGGTTTGATAATGATGAACCAGTGGATGGAATGGGGCTACTAATCAGCCTGTGAAATCAGACAAACCCGGCCTTTTTTTTTGTGGGGCTTTCTGAAAAAAAGAGAGCTATTTGCTGGACACCAATGACTTGAGTTGGAAGAATGTGGGATACCCTCTGGTAAATTTAACGTAGCTATGGAAAGTCACCTTTTTATTACGTATATAAACCATTAAAATTATATATAATAATTATAAATCTATTATATCTATTTCTATGGTCTATGGACAGTCACCAATTTTTATAAGGGAAAATCATTATAAATCAATATAAGTCTCCCATTTCTATGCTCCATCTAAACCATTTCAAGCTGTTAAATAACCAGATGGCAATCTGTTTACCCGCGGCATGGGAGAAGCAGATCACATTGTCATGGTGACTGTACATTAAAGGTTAATGGGTAAGTGACCCTTTTTAAAGGGCCCTTAAGTGAATGGTTCAGGTGAGTGAATTATTTTAATGTGTATATATATATATATATACAATATATGATATTGATATATTTTGTAGATAATGACATATAATGAAACAATGTATCCATATCCATGCATACATATAATAGCAGAATTTCATGGGTTCGTACTTACCATCGGACTGGGGCCTGTTCGGCCAGGCAACTCACATTGCACTGAAGCAAGGCAACGAAACGCGGCGGCGGCAAACGTTGCCAAAAATTATGGTGGATGAAACCATCCAGACGCGCAGAATTTAGGATATAAATAGTCAATATAGTTAGTGAATCATCCATATCAGACTATAGCTGGTTGGTTGGAACATGAATTTTCTTTTTCCATATGTTGGGAATAATCATCCTAACTGACTAATATTTTTCAAAGGGGTTGAAACCACCAACCAGATAGTGTTACTATATGTTACTGTAGTCCACTATCATCCAATGAAACCATCGTTTGATCCTTTGACCATCGCATTCATACTTTCGCAAAAGTATGTTACAGGGACAAACAGGGCCAGGGACTATACCTAGCGTGTTTGTTAAATCGGGATGATGGATCCTAAACTCTTCGTTGCGATCAACGAAAATGACCACCAACGAAAGTAACGAAAGGGTCAAAATTACGGAAAGCCTCAAATTCACAGATATGGCCATTGAGGATTTGGCGTTTTACGCGTGTGTTGATTCACCAACGCTCTTTGTATTTCTACCCTCTTGTGTCATCAAACATGATTTGCTGAAAAATCCACCATTTTGATGATTTTCCCAGCTAGAAACCTCTCATCCCATACCCAGAATACACCATTTTCTACTCAAAGCAATGGAAAATCCACCAAGTTTCATCATTTGGATGTGGGTCAAAATGGAAGACCTAGGGGACCACAGATGTTAGTATAGTTTAGTATTAACCATCCAATTGTTGGGGTACCGAATTTTGACCCATACCCATTTATCGCTGCTTTCCGCATTCAAGTTCTCCATTCGGACAATCTTGGTGAAGAAATAACCGCCAGGCGCGCGAAGCGCCCAACCATTGATGGTTCCGGGGTTCAGCTAGTGTACATTTCATTGCAGTCAACCCACCCTCTGGTAATTTAACATAGCTATGGAAAAACACAATTTTTAATGGGAAAATCCACTATAAATAGCCATTTTCAATAGCTATGTTAAATTACCAGAGGGTATAGTTTATATATCTGGGTAAATTATAACGACCTCACTGTTCTCCCGAACCCTGGAATCATGGTTAATAAGGAAAAATCATCCCCAAATGGCCGTAATTCAGGTTCGTGAATTATTATAATTTACCCAGATATATAACACACTTCCTATACTTGGTGAATCTGATACTACCGGTGTTTATAAAATTGGGTAACCTTGTCATCATCCAGTCCCCATATGATATCCCCGACTGTGGGCCCCATGAATCCAAATTTCCAGGTGCCTGTGGTTGTGGGGCCGGCTGCGGCTGCGGGCCCTGTGGTGCCTGCAACGGTGGGGCCCCATGGGGAGTTGGGGAGGAGCATTTTGGGTTTAGGGTAACCATCGAAAGTAGAATGTTACCGACAAAACAGAGATAAACAAACAATAAGGGTACTGTAAACATTATATGATATAAATTATATGTTATATGTAACTAACTTGGTAGATCATGGTGGTTTGGATGTAGCCTGTTTTGAAATCGACATTGTGATTTCAGCATCCAAGGTTTTTTTGTTGGAGCTTCTGCAGCTGGTCATTCCATAAATCGTTACAAATCTTTACGCTAAAATATCCTGATAGATCTGAGATATACCCTCTGGTAAACGTTTACATAACTATGGAAAATCACTATTTTCAATGGGAAAATCCACTATTTCTATGGCCATTTTAAATAGCTATGTTAGTCATTACCAGAGGGCATCACATTTCTGACATTTCCGACACTTTCTCTTTTTCGTGAATTCTGACAAATTCTCCCGGATTCCGTAAAAAGGATTGGAGGAGAAGGGAGGAGCTGACACAAAATCCAGCGAGCACCTGACAAGTGGGGAAAGATGATGCTTTTTTACTGGTTGGTGGTTTCGAACATGAATTTTACTTTTCCATTCAGTTGGGAAGAATAATCATCCCAACTGACGCACTCATATTTTTCAGAGGGGTAGGTATACCACCAACCTGTTTGGAATTGCACCCTTTGAGCTCTTCTTATACCTTAGAACATTTTTATAACCCATTGCAGCTGGACCAGCTAGCAATTTCACTGGGTTGAATTATGGGAACATATCACAACCCACATGAAGTACAAATTTGCATGGCTCAAAATCGAATAAACTTCGCCAAATCGGATGGAATTTTATGTGAAACATGCCAAAATGGGCGCGTAAAGAACGGCCTAAAAAGAATTGCGTGTGGACAGAGACAACCTATGACAACCTATGTTTGGATGGTTGAGGCCCTATAACATGTATGGGGGTTTAAAATGGGGGACCCCCAAGTCATCATAGGTTTCAATATTAAACTGATCATCCATGACCAAGACGACCCGGGGGCACCACCCATTTGAGGACACCTCCATATATTACAATATTCTCAGTAAACTATGGAAGCCATGGCTTTTCCATAGAAATAGATGATAACATATATAAAAATGATGATTTACCCATGGATTTACCCAGTAAACATGATGATTTCTGATATATTTGCCAGGTTTTTCGGCTCTACGGTTGGGCCGCAGCATCTCCAGGTTGCGACACGGGAGCCTGCGGCGCCTGCGGCGCCTGCGGCAGCCAGTGCCTAGTCGAGACGCTATGGCTATGGATCAATACCTACAAATACCATTTTTAGAGGGATGAACATCCATAAATCCCAGCTATTTAATGATGTGAACTATAGGGGTACAAGGTTTTGACACACTGCCATATATATATATATATATATGGTGCAGCGTTGGCCACCCCCCCTCCCCCCCCCACCAATGGGTATGGGTGGACAGTATCGTCTGGTTCTTCTGGTCCCCCCCCCTGTGGCCTGTGGTGGTGGTATGGTTCTTCTGGTCCCCCCCCCCTGTGGCCTGTGGTGGTGGTATGTTGGTATGTTGGTGGTATGTTGGTATGTTGGTATG